CTCCTACACACTGACTGTAGACACACTGTTGCACTGGTTGTCCTTTCCAGACTGTTACACTGTGGATATTACGAGTATACAATAGCTTTTATAGTATGTGTAGCATATCTCACTTTATGGCCAGTTTATTGCCTAGGAATGATGGTATGTTATGACTTATATCCCACGTGTCAGCTTGCCTCAACCGTGAGACGTTTTCAGTCTTCATCACTGAGACTTTATCAGGTCCAGCCATCAACAGGGAGAGACTTTATCAGATCGAGCTGTCTCAGTTTAGACTTTTTGAGATCTAGCTGTTAACATTAAGAATGTAGCAGGTCCAGTTAGTTGTCGACCTGCCTCAGTAGGTGTCAAGGCTTGTGGACTAGCGACCTGCCTCAGTAGGTGTCAAGGGCTTGTGGACTAGCGACCTGCCTCAGTAGGTGTCAAGGGCTGTGGACTAGCGACCTGCCTCAGTAGGTGTCAAGGGCTGTGGACTAGCGACCTGCCTCAGTAGGTGTCAAGGGCTGTGGACTAGAAGTGGTATCAAGGGCTGTGGACCTGCCTCAGTAGGTGTCAAGGGCTGTGGACTAGCGACCTGCCTCAGTAGGTGTCAAGGGCTGTGGACTAGCGACCTGCCTCAGTAGGTGTCAAGGGCTGTGGACTAGCGACCTGCCTCAGTAGGTGTCAAGGGCTGTGGACTAGCGACCTGCCTCAGTAGGTGTCAAGGGCTGTGGACTAGCGACCTGCCTCAGTAGGTGTCAAGGGCTGTGGACTAGCGACCTGCCTCAGTAGGTGTCAAGGGCTGTGGACTAGCGACCTGCCTCAGTAGGTGTCAAGGGCTGTGGACTAGCGACCTGCCTCAGTAGGTGTCACGGGCTGTGGACTAGCGGCTAGGAGTTGGATTCAGCCTGAAAGACTGATGAACTCAGGACTAGGTTATGGGGATCAGAGTTTGACTATGCCAAGAATATCAATTGTCTGTATCATACACTTCAAAGTATCATGAGCCCAGTGTGTAAACCAATATGAGAATATTTCGAAATTTCAGAAGACATTTTTAATGACATTTTTAAACATAAATGACAAATTCATTTGTGTATTTCTGCTTGGTGTGTCTTGATCATACATCTGTATCCTGACTGAGCAGCCTAACAAGAAGCTTCACAATACTTCCCCGTTACAACAACAAGCCTGAGTCATATCTTGTCATGACACAGGTATACAACATCCTGGTTGAGACGAGGCTCCACATGAGCGGGTAGTGGGAAATAAAGACTGTGAGAGTTGATTGAGGCCCTTCAAGGGTGGTGGTGGTGGGAAATAAAAGACATGATAGAGACAATCGGTATCCAATCTTCTTAATTCTCAGTATGAACAAGCAATATTTGGTTATCTTTCTTTTCATGAAGACATTATATAATTTTTTTTATCTAAAAAATAAGATATACAACCAATTCCAAGTTTAATTGAAACAGAATGCTCGGGTCTTTTTACATGACATGACTTCAACACACTATGAGTAGTATTTGTTTTCTGTATTTCTCATTGTATTGTCATTTCTGAACAGAGGTGGTCAAAAATGAAGGCAAATTCTTTGTAGAAATCTGAAATCTGATTGGCATAAAAAACATGCTTCCTTCATTTTGACTGTGTGGTCAAAGTCCTCGTCACTGAACCGGGTTATATTGCTAAGACGAGTTCAGTGTGTGAAGATTATTTCTGTTGTGATATTGCTGAAATACTTCTAAAATCTTGAACCCTACTCAGTGTAGAGGCCAAGCTCACTCACTCTCACTCTCACACTCTCACTCACTGATTTTACTGAGATAGGTGGTAGAAGACAATAAATGTTACAGACATTTTCTTTCTGTTTTGTGAACATGAAGATGTTTCACAGAAGATCCAACACCATAGTGGCACACAGTATAAGCTGTATTTCTCAACTTGTTGAATTAGCTACAGAAATTCTTACCCATAGCGGGGCGGTGGGGCAGCCTAATGGTTAAAGCATTAGCTCCTCATGCTGAAGGCCCAGGTTCAATTCCCTACATGGATACAATGTGTGAAGCCCATTTCTGGTGTTCCCCGCTGTGATATTGCTGGAATACTGCTAAAAGCTCAAACCATACCCAGTATAAAGGCCAAGAGCACTCACTCACCCACTCACTCACTCCCTGATTTAACTGAGATTTCTGGTGTTCCCCGCCGTGATATTGCTGGAATACTGCTAAAAGCTTAAACCATACCCAGTATAAAGGCCAAGAGCACTCACTCACCCACTCACTCACTCACTGATTTTACTGAGATTTCTGGTGTTCCCCGCCGTGATATTGCTGGAATACTGCTAAAAGCTCAAACCATACCCAGTATAAAGGCCAAGAGCACTCACTCACCCACTCACTCACTGATTTAACTGAGATTTCTCACTGATTTGGAATACTGCTAAAAGATTTCTGGTGTTGCGATTTAACTGATATGTTGCTGGAATAATACTGCTTAAAGCTTAAACCATACCCAGTATAAAGGCCAAGAGCACTCACTCACCCACTCACTCACTCACTGATTTAACTGAGATTTCTGGTGTTCCCCGCCATGATATTGCTGGAATACTGCTAAAAGCTCAAACCATACCCAGTATAAAGGCCAAGAGCACTCACTCACCCACTCACTCACTGATTTAACTGAGATTTCTGGTGTTCCCCGCCGTGATATTGCTGGAATACTGCTAAAAGCTTAAACCATACCCAGTATAAAGGCCAAGAGCACTCACTCACCCACTCACTCACTGATTTTACTGAGAATTCTGGTGTTCCCCGCCATGATATTGCTGGAATATCGCTAAAAGCAGCGTAAAACTAAAGTCGCAGCACTCTCTCACCCAGAAATGTCTGTGTCTTACAACGATTAGAGAAGGCACAAGGTACCAGCATGTTTCACTGAACACATTAGACTTTTGGGTTTTATCAGCCAATTATGCATTAACAATGACAGAGCTGTCACATGGAGTTTATGTCTTATGATGCACCTGTTCAACCAGCTGGACTGGGATTGGTCTGTAGATGTGTTGTGACTTATTTGCAGTGTTGGTCATAGGAGAATGACATCAATAGCTGACTGGTAACATAGTTTATGTGTTGTGGGTCTAGTGGAGTTAGTTGCTGCATAAATTGATTTAATGTGTCTGTGAAAAACAAATTTTTGTTCATAAACACTACCCATGAAAATGCAGGTTAGATTGGTATTCGACCGCCTACTGGTTAGAGCGTCCGCCTGGAGAGCGGAAGGTCGCGGGTTCGATCCCCGACCGCGTCATACCAAAAGACGTTAAAATATGGTACTTGTTGGTCCCTGCCTGGCGCTCGGCATTAATGGGTACAACAAGGACTGGTCGGCTCAGAGTCAGTATAATGTGTCTGAGTGGGGTATTCATGCTTCACTGCGGCATGGTATCTCAGTGGGCTAGCACTATAAAACCAGCTTCAGTCTGGGCTAGTACAAGCAGCCGCACATACACATACACACGCATGCACGTCGTCACATGAGCGAAATATTCTGAAGCACGACGTAAAACCCAATTTCACCTCACCTCACCTAGATTGGTATTCAAACATTCGTAACAGGATTGGGTGCTTCCGCCCATAATATATTTATGATATAGCTGAAATTAGCTTTATACAAACAAACAAACATAATCCCTGCAACCACAACAAGTACTAGATTGAGCAGAGTGGAGACCACCTTTAACATGTCCACCAAGTACTAGATTGAGCAGAGTGGAGATCACCTTTAACATGTCCACCAAGTACTAGATTGAGCAGAGTGGAGACCACCTTTAACATGTCCACCAAGTACTAGATTGAGCAGAGTGGAGACCACCTTTAACATGTCCACCAAGTACTAGATTGAGCAGAGTGGAGACCACCTTTAACATGTCCACCAAGTACTAGATTGAGCAGAGTGGAGACCACCTTTAACATGTCCACCAAGTACTAGATTGAGCAGAGTGGAGACCACCTTTAACATGTCCACCAAGTACTAGATTGAGCAGAGTGGAGACCACCTTTAACAGTCCACCAAGTACTAGATTGAGCAGAGTGGAGGAGAGATTGAGCAGAGTGGAGACCACCTTTAACATGTCCACCAAGTACTAGATTGAGCAGAGTGGAGACCACCTTTAACATGTCCACCAAGTACTAGATTGAGCAGAGTGGAGACCACCTTTAACATGTCCACATTAGATTGAGCAGAGTGGAGACCACCTTTAACATGTCCACCAAGTACTAGATTGAGCAGAGTGGAGACCACCTTTAACATGTCCACCAAGTACTAGATTGAGCAGAGTGGAGCAGTGGAGACCACCTTTAACATGTCCACCAAGTACTAGATTGAGCAGAGTGGAGACCACCTTTAACATGTCCACCAAGCACTAGATTGAGCAGAGTGGAGACCACCTTTAACATATCCACCAAGCACTAGACTGAGCAGAGTGGAGACCACCTTTAACCTGTCCAAGTATTAAATTCAACTGAGTTAAGACAAACTTTCACATCTTGTCTGGGTCAGGCTATAGGTCTCCAATAAAGTATGTGTGTTGTGATAAAATGTTGTATTGATAAGTTGGTTACGCCCCATGACAGCATGCACTGAAATTACTTTCATCTTGCTTATCCAGATGTTATACCAAGTTTTTCTTTCTGTGACAGTGAAATGAAATTGTGACAGCTGTTACAGGAATTCAAACAGCTCTCATTTGTTTTCCATATGAGGTGAAAAATTAGAGGAAGCAGGTTTATCTAGACTTGCTCAGTGTCTGATGCATGGCTCCAAATGTGTACCTAATGTCGGTATGATGTATGATGGAATTATAATTCTCTGCTTCCTGGTAATATACAGGACATAGTAATTGCTGATCTTGCCGATGTTAGGCTTACATCTCCAAGGAGGGACCTAGTTGTTGAATAGAAATGTGGAATGTATTAAATGAAAATATTTGTTGCATATTTGTTTGTTTTTTCCAGAACAAAAATCCTTGACGGACTACATCAAATACTATGAGGAGCTGCGCTTGGATCCAGTCAGTATTCACCGAGACCATGAGCGTGTTCGTCGGTCACTGGACTCACACTTATACCTGCGCTTTAAAGCTTTCAAAAGGTGAGATCCAGTACAATTGTGAGGGAAGTGTTGCTTCCTTTGTGTTTGTAGGGAGTTACCTCCCTTGGATTTGTTTGGTGGAGTTACCTCCCTTGGATTTGTTTGGTTGAGTTACCTAGATTTGTTTGGTGGAGTTACCTCCCTTGGATGTGTTTTGGTGGTGATGCAGGTTACACAAATGTTTTCCCCATTGACTTGTATAGTAACGGGGGGCGGGGGTGGTGGTTGTGTTTAAAAACGTAACTAAGCCAACAACAGGTATGGCATGTGTGCATGTAATCAGACCAAACCCCAGTTCTGCACAAAATTAATGTCAACCACTTGAAAATACCTGTGGTCACATTCAGCAGATGTCATTATGTAAAATATGACAGCACTAAATATTAAAAACTTTCTGCAGTTCTAATTACTGGATGGATGTACACTTAAAAAACTAGAAAAATATGCAGAAAATTAATGAATCACTGGTAGTATAACCTACTTCCCTTGTATTGTATGGCCATCTGAGTGTTTTAATGAATCTAGGTCCTGTGTTTTAATGAATCTAGGTCCTGTGTTTTCAGTGTTTTAATGAATCTAGATCCAGTGTTTTAATGAATCTAGGTCCAGTGTTTTAATCCATCTTCGAAATGATATGGATTTATATTGAATATTGTACTTACTAGTATTTAATTTCACATTTTTCTGTTTGTCCAATGTTTGGGGGGAAATTGTGATTCAGAATGATGGATTATGACAATTACGATATACAACCCTGTCTCATTTTGATATGAAATATATCAACACTCATGTGAATAGTTAACAGGAAAATGTAAAAAACGTTCCATGTGTACAGAAAACAGTAAATGATTGTTTTCAAAATGGTTCATGTGACTTCAGCTCCTATTGTTATGATATATATCATCATTTTCATCATCATTTTTCCGTATAAATGGCCAGGAGGCCATGAGTACAACATGTGATACATACATATGCTCTATATTTACAGAGATTTTCACTTAAAATTAGAAAAGGACACGTCCGTTTACAGCCCGGATCATGTAACATCTAGCTTTGATGGACATTTGCAACCAGTAGATACGTCATTTATATACCAAGGAGTACTTGAAGGTAAGTACTTCGTAGCTTGGGGTTGGATAACAGTTGGATATCCTGCAGTGTTTATAGAGAACATTTGGTCATTCTGCTGGTGATCCAGAACACTGCATTGATTGCAAGATGGGTTATTTGATACTAATGACAATTTCATGGCTATGATTCTTAAGTTATGAGGAGTAGCCTAGCGGTTGAAGGTTCGCTCATCCAGTGTTCAACTCCTCCAATCAGTCCAGTGTGTGAGGCTCATTTCTGATGTCTCCAGCTGTCACTTTGCTGGACTATTGCTAAACATGGTATAAAAACATGCTCACTAACTCCTACTTATGAGTGATACAGTTAGCTAACCCTTGTCAAATATTACAGGTGTGCCTCGAAGTTACGTTCACCTTTCTATCATCAACGGCACAACTCGGGGGCATGTTCACATCCCAGGGGAGACAACTTACCATATAGAACCTGCAGCGCAGTATATGCAAAACCCACACTTTCATTCTGTGATATACGATGAACAGCATGTTGACCTTGACCCTTACAGGTAAGAATGACAAGTTATCCAAGGACAGAACATTTTCAACAGAAGCTGCACTTAATCAGTAGGACTGTTCTCATGCATTTTGAAAAGTGTGATAAATAGTAGCTTGATAGCAATATCTGCCCTCAGTATTTGGTCTTAACATATGTCATTTCTTTACAACCAGAAAACAAAGTTTGAAATGTAATTTTTAGATAATCTGACTGCTTTCTGCAGAATGTTTTTCCTGGTCTTCAAAATTTGGCTTATCTACGTTGAAAGTGATTATTTAATGTTGTGAAACAGGATTTTGGTTGCTTCTTCAAGTGGCATTCAGAAGCTTGTATTTCTCCTTGTGCATAATGTTGTGTATCATTATTTTTCCTTATCCTGACTCATGCTCTTTTGCTTGTCTCCTTCTTCTTGCAAAAGATAGTGGAACACTTGAATCCCCATTTGAAGCTCCCTTCAAAAAAGCGGACGTAAAATCACTCACCCAGTGCTATCTCCCTTTAGATGTTTTGGCGGGAAAATGCGTCACATGACCCAACATGCTCTTCACTCTCTCCGAATTATGCGCCCAACATTTATTTGATATATACAGTCAGCTCTCGTTAATCCGACACTCATTAATCCGACAATCACGTTAATCCGACAAAAAATTAGGGAACCATTTAAAACAGTGATAATGACTCTCGTTAATCTGACATTCTCGCATTCCGACTCCGACACACCAATCTAGCAACTGATTATTGTAAATACATTGTAAAAACATTCGTTAATCCGACAATCAACACAGCCGGTCAGATGATCCGACTGTATACAAACAATCACACGTGAGTGGTAATTAGCATGTGCCTTACTGGCTACTTGACACTGACGTCGGTGAACATCACACTTGTTAATTAGGAACACAGGATAATTAATTGAGACGATTTAATCAAGAAATAACAGTAGAGCGAGCTGTATAAAATGTTTACAACCGACATGAGTTTTCATCACAAGATGTTTGTCACGAGTACACCACCTGCTAAGCGACCCCTTGTAGAAGCTACGCCCATTGATCAAGAAAGAAATCTCCTTTTGAAGAAAGAAAACCCCAGACAACACAACAAGAAGTCATCACTTTTGCTGAGCAGAAGTTTGATGTGAAGATTCAGACGATCAACCGTGATCTCGACCTCCTGAAGCAGTCTGCTTAGTGGTTGAGTTACATGTCTCTCAGATTGACTGATTCCAATGCTTCAAGCTATCTGAGGCCAAAACATCACCTGAACACTTTGCAAACATTTCTGACACACCACTTAGACATCGTTGAACACTTTGCAAACATTTCTGACACACCACTTAGACGTGTTTGATGTTAATGACCATCAAAGACTTTTTCAAGTTATAAATTATATATGTTATGATACATGCCTGATTGTACATTAGACGTCCACATGCAATTATGGAATTAGTTGTATGGAAACTGTAACATATTCAACATCCGGGTCATAATGGCAGCTGATATGCGGTAAAAACAAACGTGAGTTTTGTGCCAATGTGGTCATGAAATAGATATGAAACGGTTCGCTTATGTGATTATATATGTATGTTATGCCATCTACGAATGTTAATAAATGATAACAAGTATGTATTGTTAGTATTTTTTATTTCTGTGAATATTTTTACGTACGATGAAGATAAGTAGATCTACCATTTCTGATATGCATGCAACAGTATGACGATCTCATGACATTTAGTAAACATTGATATTTTCACACAAATACATTAATCCGACATTTCCGTTAATCCGACATATTTCTCTGCAACCACAAGTGTCGGATTAACGAGAGCTGACTGTATAAGGGTATTAGGATCTACACCGAAACGTCGCATATTTTGCAATAAACGAGTTGTCTATCCATATAAAGTGTTCCTCTTCAGGATTTTGGTCAGTTCAAAATATGCTGCCCCATGTGTGTCAAATGTTGCATAAGTTTTTGTTGTTTTCTAATTTTTCATGTGTATTTGAATTCAAACATCTCAATAAAGATTGACTCACTCCTTGCTGCAGACATCGGCGCGAGGCGGAGAGTGCAACGTGCGGCAATGATCATCATTTTGAATGGATGAAGCGCGTGTCAGAGTCAGCATACGAGGCACCGAACAGAGCGAAGAGGGTGAGTCCAGTGGAGGATCTCCTGGTTTGGAGTGAGTGAGTTTAGTTTTACGCCACACTCAGCAATATTCCAGCTATATGGCAGCGGTCTGTAAATTATTGAGTCTGGACCAGACAATCAAGTGGTCAACAGCATGAGCAGATCTACGCAGTTGGGATACTATGGCGTGTCAACCAGGTCAGCTAGTCTGACTACCTGACCCAGTTAATCGCCTCTTACGACAAGTGGTTGTTTGCTTTGTGGAATGGATCCAGGCCCTCTGGGTTTGTCCTCTGATGACTATCATAGAGAGGGTGACAAGCAGCCTTTTCATTGTTGGTCAGGTTAATGGAGAGGGTGAGGTGGTACAGTGGTTGGGGATCATGGAGAGGGTGACAAGCAGACTTTCATTGTTGGTCAGGTCAATTGAGGTGGTACAGTGGTTGGGAATCACGGAGAGGGTGACAAGCAGCCTTTCATTGTTGGTCAGGTCAATTGAGGTGGTACAGTGGTTGGGGATCATGGAGAGGGTGACAAGCAGCCTTTCATTGTTGGTCAGGTCAATTGAGGTGGTACAGTGGTTGGGAATCACGGAGAGGGTGACAAGCAGCCTTTCATTGTTGGTCAGGTCAATTGAGGTGGTACAGTGGTTGGGGATCATGGAGAGGGTGACAAGCAGCCTTTCATTGTTGGTCAGGTCAAGTGGTTGATCGTGGAGATCAGCCTTTCGGAGAGGGTGCAGGTCAGGGTGACAGTGGTTGGGATCATGGAGAGGGTGACAAGCAGCCTTTCATTGTTGGTCAGGATCATTGAGGTGGTACAGTGGTTGGGGATCATGGAGAGGGTGACAAGCAGCCTTTCATTGTTGGTCAGGTCAATTGAGGTGGTACAGTGGTTGGGGATCATGGAGAGGGTGACAAGCAGCCTTTCATTGTTGGTCAGGTCAATTGAGGTGGTACAGTGGTTGGGGATCATGGAGAGGGTGACAAGCAGCCTTTCATTGTTGGTCAGGTCAATTGAGGTGGTACAGTGGTTAGAGAGCTTCCTCCAGAGTGATAGGAGGCAGGGTTCTGAATATGCCCTTAACATGTTGGCTTATGCTCTATTGTACATCAAGACTCCTCTAACAATAGATGGACTAAATCGTGGGAATATCTTTCTTGCTCATCTTGAACTTCTTTCATTCTCCAGGCAACTGAGAACTATGAAGAGCCGGCCTACTCCTACAACAAATACAGTGAGGCATTGAACCGCCAGAAGAGGGCTCCCCGGAACCTTGGCGGAAAAAACACATGTTACCTCTATCTGCAGTCTGACCCGATGTTGTGGAACTATGTGAAGAAAGAGAAGTTCCCTAGAACAACACTGGTGAGGATATAACTTGTTATATCACATGTGTCTTGGGGGATATCACTGTTCAACATGAGGGATGAATGTGTGTGTATTGGTTGATGTAATTGTTTTACAGCAGGGATGAACATGTGTGTATTGGGTGATGTAATTGTTCTACATCAGGGATGAACATGTGTGTCTTGGTTGATGTAATTGTTTTACAGCAGGGATGAACATGTGTGTATTGGTTGATGTAATTGTTTTACATCAGGGATGAACATGTGTGTCTTGGTTGATTTAATTGTTTTACATCAGGGATGAATGTGTGTGTCTTGGGTGATGAAATTGTTCTACATCAGGGATGAACATGTGTGTCTTGGGTGATGAAATTGTTTTACATAAGGGATGAACATGTGTGTCTTGGGTGATGAAATTGTTTTACATCAGGGATGAATGTGTGTGTCTTGGGTGATGTAATTATTTTACATTAGGGATGAGTAATACCCAGAGATAGCACTAGTGAGGATATGGAATTGTTATACTGTATAGACTAGAAGTAACTGAGTGCTGTGTTCTGTGTTGGTGACGTCATTGTTCATAAAGGATAGAAGTATTCCTAAAAAGTCACAGGCTGCAGGTTATTCCTGCAAGATTGCTAAATAGACATACATTATTTACTTTCCTGGTGTAACCTGTATAATATACTAGGGGAGGTAACTCTTGTCTGTTTCAGAGTGATGAACGAGCTAAGGAGGAGATATTGGCATTCTTTGCCAGTCATGTGGCCGCCCTGAAGTCAATCTACTCTACAACGACGTTCAGCACATACGATGACTCCATCTCGTACAAGGGCATCAACTTCCTGGTCCAGAGAACCAGGGTAGGTTGTCGTTTACTGGTAGTGGTATATCAAACACTGTATTGCTGGACCCTCTTGTATCAATAGAAACTGTATCAAGCTAATGTTAATGTCGATGATATGAATATTGAGTGATTTACACATTGCAGTAGGGCGGTGGGGTAGCCTAGTGGTTAAAACGTTTGTTCCTCATGCCGAAGACCTGGGTTCGAGTCCCCACATGGATACAATGTGTGAAGCTCATTTCTGGTGTCCCCGCTGGGATATAGCTTGAATATTGCTATAAGCGGCGTAAAAGTAGAAAGTGTATTATAACTTAACAAGTCGGAAAGAGTGATATATTTACAAATTCCCCATGAAAATTCACTAGCCAGTTGAGCCAGTCACTGTGGAGATTTACTGGCCCAACTGGAATTTTACTAGCCATGGACTAGACGAGCCCTTCAAGTGGATGATTCCTCCTCTGTATCATATGCTGATGGCGTGGACCATTGCTCATGCTATAGATCACTGGATTATCTGGTTAAGAGCAGTGGGGTAGCTGAGTAGTCAAAGTCACAGATCGTCACGCTGAAGACCCCAGTTCTTTGCTCACTTGGGTACAATGTGTGGAACCCATTTTTAATGTCCCTGTCAAGATGTATTGCATAAAACCAAACTTACTCACTCACTTATTTATTGGCCACTCTCTGAAATATTGAATAATAATAATAAATATAGTTGCGGGCAACGATGAGGTCTCCTTGGCTTTACTTTCTATCTATTGTATCTGAGGGCTAGATATCATCGTCCAAAACGGAGCCAGAACACATGTTTTGACAGGCGAGCGGATCTTCCAAATACAGCCGGGGTCACGGGGGTCATGTACCTTTTAAGTAGTTCCGGAGAAGAAATAGTTCCCTCTTTAAGAGGCTGTATCTCAGTTGTTCTTGGGTCTACGTTCAAAACAATTAGTGTTCTGGAATCACCAGGACATCATCTACGATACTGGGAGCAAACTACTCAGAAAAGTGCTGAAAAACATGGCCAAAAACTGAAAACAAAAATAACTGCCAAACGGTACGTTTTAGCGACTTGACCCGTCCAGGCAAAATTGTTGGGAATTCGATTGTGCATCTGTACAAGAAATTTGGAAGTGTTGGAACAATTAGTTCTTGAGATATTTGCTGTCAAACGTTGAAATTTTGGAATTAATTTTGAATTATTTCCCCTTTGCTATTGAGCCTAGAGATTTTTAAGGGGAATATCTACACCTGGGTGTGCATCTGTGTGATTTTTTGTAAGCGATTCGGAGCATTGGTTTAGGAGTTATGTTTGGTACAAAAATCGGCGGAATAATAAATAATAATAATAATAATAATAAACCGAACGATTACAATAGGTCTCCTGCCTAGAGGCAAGGAGCCCTAATGATGATAATGGCTATTTACAAAGCACCTGTTTCCACACACTTGTGCATGCTCAAACTGTAACACATATTACCCGGGATAACCCAAGCTGCCTGTGAGGTACCCGAAGGATATAGTCACATGACTTATCCCACTGGGTACCCATCTTTTGCTTGGTGAAGAGTACAACAACAAATGAACAAACAAAACAAGCTACTGCTCCAAATTCACACTTGACTCATATGAGAAAATATATAATATATTATCAGCAATTATGTCTTATTTTCTAGATAATGACCGACACTACTGAGAAGTGCAATACTGCTGCAGCTACTGCATGGTGCAACCCCAACATTGATGTCAGCAACTTCCTCAACCTCAACTCCATGGATAACCATGATGATTTCTGCCTGGCATATGTCTTCACATACCGTGACTTCATCCAAGGGACCCTGGGACTGGCTTGGGTCGGTTCAGAGACAAGTAAGATATGAGTCCCATGTAGAGGTGTTCTTAATAAAAGAGTGAGTGAGTGAGTTTAGTTTTACACCTCACTCAGCAATATTCCAGCTATATGGCGGCGGTCTGTAAATAATTGAGTCTGGACCAGACAATCCAGTGATCAACAGCATGAGCATCAACACAATTTGGATACGATGAGGTATGTCAACCAAGCCTGCCCACCGATCCTGTTAGTCACCTTTTACGACAAGCATGGGTTACTGAAGACCAATTCTAACCTGGACCTTCACGAGTTGTTGATGGAAGAACATTTCCCGATGTTGGTGCCAAACATTTTCAGTCTGATCCCATAACGATCTGGTTGCCACTGCTCGTCGTAAGAGGCGACCATTGTGTTCATGGCCATGTTTCACAAAGTGATCATAGAGTTACAACTATCATATCTCCTATACTTTAACATAGAGCTACGACTATCATATCTCCTATACTTTAACATAGAGTTACGACTATCATATCTCCTATACTTTAACATAGAGCTACGACTATCATATCTCCTATACTTTAACATAGAGTTACGACAAACGTAGAGCTAAGATCTGTTTGTGAAACCGCCCAGGTCGCCAGGCTCGCAGTCGTGGTTGATACATGTCATTGTATCCCAATTGTGTAGATCTATACCCATGATGTTAGTCACTGGATTGTCTGCTCCAGACTCAATTATTTGCAAAGCGCTGTAATATAGCTGAAATATTGCTGAATGCTATGTTCAACAACAAACGAGCTCTCACACTCAGTTGCCACTGTCATGAAACTTGAACTCCGATCAATGATTATTCAGGGAAGTGGGGTAGCCTAGTGGTTAAAGCATTAGCTTGTCAAGCTGAAGAACCAGGTTTGATTCCCCACATGGGTACAATGTAGCCCATTTCTTGTGTTCCCTGCCGTGATGTTGCTGGAAGATTGCTTAAAGCAGTGTGAAATGAAACTAAACTTGCTCACTCAAAAATCATTCATCAAGTAAATATTGGTGTAACGTACCATCATCACTCACCCAGTAAGGTAAGCTTTTTGTGTATTTAGCCTTTGAACTGTAGCTCTTTGCCTACTTGCATTTTTATTTGTGGGCTTTGAGCATGCATGAGCATGGATATATGCGCGTTACAAATATGCTATTATTATTATGTTTACAGAGGCGGCTGGCGGTATCTGTGAACAGTTTAAGGAGTACCCCGAGGGTAACCAACGTGTTGGGAAGAGTCTCAACACCGGGATCGTCACCATCGTCAACTACGGCAAGCCCGTACAGGCCCGGGTATCACAGCTGACTTTTGCTCATGAGGTCGGACACAACTTTGGATCTCCGGTAGGTTTTATACTGGTGTTGTCTGGTTAGGGCACCACCTTGTTTCTGCTGATAAAACTCTTACTGTACAGTCTCATCAGTGGACAGAAGTAATATATTTACTCAGCATAGAATATCATGCACGAGTGAGTGAGTGGGGGAGCGAGGGAGCATTCACCCTATACAGTACACATTATGCTATGGTATGCCTTAGGTGGTCAGACCCGTGAACATCTGGGTTAGAATTGATCTTCAGTAACCTCTGCTGGTTGTAAGAGGCCACTAACGGGATCGGGTGGTCATTGTATGTCATTGTATCCCAATTGCGTAGATTGATGCTCATGCTGTTGATCACTGGATTGTCTGGCCCAGACTCGATTATTTACAGACTGCTGCCATATAGCTGGAATATTACTGAGTGCAGCATAAAAAACTAAACTCACTCACTCACTCTATGGTCAGAATATCGACCAACATGTGTCCTCAGTATAGTGCTCACTGTCTGACATCCTTGCTTGCACTATTTACAGCACGACAAGGGCCCAACGTGTGCCCCCTATGGAACCAGTGAGCCTGATGCGTCCAGTGGTAACTACATTATGTTCGCGTCTGCCACTCTCGGTGACAAGGACCACAATGACGAGTTCTCCACCTGCAGCCGTGACAACATCACCCGTGTCCTTGATGCCGTTGTCAACAAAAGATACAGCAAGATCGACTGCTTCAACTGTAAGTACAGAGGCTTGAACACTGACAAAGGTTACTTACACTTAATTGTTAAAGTCATATTATGATTGAAAGGGAAATGTTTGGTGTTAAATTTGGGAATTTGTACTTACATCTGCAGCAGGGGTGAATATTGCTCGGGAGCAGATAAGGCAAATCTATTTTCTCATTAGTGAGAGAGATGTGGTTGCCTATTGGTTAAAGCACTTGCATGTTATGCTGAGCACCTGTCTGTGATTCCTTATGTGAAATTGCTGCAATTTGTCTATAGATATACATCATATTGTGTTGTTATTGGGAAATCGTATGAATTGAATTGAAGTGTAATTTCTACACTGGGGCAGTACAATGAATCAGTTGTAAAAATTTGGGTTTTTAAAAATTTATGTTTAGAATGTTTGGCCTGTAACATTGTCAATCATCTGTCCATGTTAAGGAAGGTTCTGGTTGTAAGAGTGTTGATCACCTGTCCATGTTCAGGAAGGTTTGGGTTGTAAGAGTGTTGATGACCTGTCCATGTTCAGGAAGGTTCTGGTTGTAAGAGTGTTGATCATCTGTCCATGTTCAGGAAGGTTTGGGTTATAAGAGTGTTGATCACCTGTCCATGTTCAGGAAGGTTCTGGTTGTAAGAGTGTTGATCACCTGTCCATGTTCAGGAAGGTTCGGGTTGTAAGAGTGTTGATCATCTGTCCATGTTCAGGAAGGTTCTGGTTGTAAGAGTGTTGATCACCTGTCCATGTTCAGGAAGGTTCTGGTTGTAAGAGTGTTGATCACCTGTCCATGTTCAGGAAGGTTCTGGTTGTAAGAGTGTTGATCATCTGTCCATGTTCAGGAAGGTTCGGGTTGTAACAGTGTTGATCATCTGTCCATGTTCAGGAAGGTTCTGGTTGTAAGAGTGTTGATCATCTGTCCATGTTCAGGAAGGTTCTGGTTGTAACAGTGTTGATCATCTGTCCATGTTCAGGAAGGTTCGGGTTGTAAGAGTGTTGATCATCTGTCCATGTTCAGGAAGGTTCGGGTTGTAAGAGTGTTGATCATCTGTCCATGTTCAGGAAGGTTCTGGTTGGTTGTAAGAGTGTTGATCATCTGTCCATGTTCAGGAAGGTTCTGGTTGTAAGAGTGTTGATCATCTGTCCATGTTCAGGAAGGTTCTGGTTGTAAGAGTGTTGATCATCTGTCCATGTTCAGGAAGGTTCTGGTTGTAAGAGTGTTGATCATCTGTCCATGTTCAGGAAGGTTCTGGTTGTAAGAGTGTTGATCATCTGTCCATGTTCAGGAAGGTTCGGGTTGTAAGAGTGTTGATCATCTGTCCATGTTCAGGAAGGTTCGGGTTGTAAGAGTGTTGATCATCTGTCCATGTTCAGGAAGGTTCTGGGTTGTAACAGTGTTGATCATCTGTCCATGTTCAGGAAGGTTCTGGTTGTAAGAGTGTTGATCATCTGTCCATGTTCTGGAAGGTTCGGGTTGTAAGAGTGTTGATCATCTGTCCATGTTCAGGAAGGTTCGGGTTGTAAGAGTGTTGATCATCTGTCCATGTTCAGGAAGGTTCGGGTTGTAAGAGTGTTGATCATCTGTCCATGTTCAGGAAGGTTCTGGTTGTAAGAGTGTTGATCATCTGTCCATGTTCTGGAAGGTTCTGGTTGTAAGAGTGTTGATCATCTGTCCATGTTCAGGAAGGTTCTGGTTGTAAGAGTGTTGATCATCTGTCCATGTTCAGGAAGGTTCGGGTTGTAAGAGTGTTGATCATCTGTCCATGTTCAGGAAGGTTCTGGTTGTAAGAGTGTTGATCATCTGTCCATGTTCAGGAAGGTTCTGGTTGTAAGAGTGTTGATCATCTGTCCATGTTAAGGAAGGTTCTGGTTGTAAGAGTGTTGATCATCTGTCCATGTTCAGGAAGATTCCGGTTGTAAGAGTGTTGATCATCTGTCCATGTTCAGGAAGGTTCTGGTTGTAAGAGTGTTGATCATCTGTCCATGTTCAGGAAGGTTCGGGTTGTAAGAGTGTTGATCATCTGTCCATGTTCAGGAAGGTTCGGGTTGTAAGAGTGTTGATCATCTGTCCATGTTCAGGAAGGTTCTGGTTGTAAGAGTGTTGATCATCTGTCCATGTTCAGGAAGGTTCGGGTTGTAACAGTGTTGATCACCTGTCCATGTTCAGGAAGGTTCTGGTTGTAACAGTGTTGATCATCTGTCCATGTTCAGGAAGGTTCGGGTTGTAACAGTGTTGATCATCTGTCCATGTTCAGGAAGGTTCTGGTTGTAAGAGTGTTGATCATCTGTCCATGTTCAGGAAGATTCTGGTTGTAAGAGTGTTGATCACCCGTCCATGTTCAGGAAGGTTCGGGTTGTAAGAGTGTTGATTGTTTGTCCATGTTCAGGAAAGTTCGGGTTGTAAGAGTGTTGATCACCTGTCCATGTTCAGGAAGGTTCTGGTTGTAAGAGTGTTGATCATCTGTCCATGTTCAGGAAGGTTTGGGTTATAAGAGTGTTGATCACCTGTCCATGTTCAGGAAGGTTCGGGTTGTAAGAGTGTTGATCATCTGTCCATGTTCAGGAAGGTTCGGGTTGTAAGAGTGTTGATCACCTGTCCATGTTCAGGAAGGTTCTGGTTGTAAGAGTGTTGATCATCTGTCCATGTTCAGGAAGGTTCTGGTTGTAAGAGTGTTGATCACCTGTCCATGTTCAGGAAGGTTCTGGTTGTAAGAGTGTTGATCATCTGTCCATGTTCAGGAAGGTTTGGGTTGTAAGAGTGTTGATCACCTGTCCATGTTCAGGAAGGTTCTGGTTGTAAGAGTGTTGATCATCTGTCCATGTTCAGGAAGGTTCGGGTTGTAAGAGTGTTGATCACCTGTCCATGTTCAGGAAGGTTCGGGTTGTAAGAGTGTTGATCACCTGTCCATGTTCAGGAAGGTTCGGGTTGTAAGAGTGTTGATCATCTGTCCATGTTCAGGAAGGTTCGGGTTGTAAGAGTGTTGATCACCTGTCCATGTTCAGGAAGGTTCGGGTTGTAAGAGTGTTGATCACCTGTCCATGTTAAGGAAGGTTCTGGTTGTAAGAGTGTTGATCATCTGTCCATGTTCAGGAAGATTCCGGTTGTAACAGTGTTGATCATCTGTCCATGTTCAGGAAGATTCCGGTTGTAACAGTGTTGATCATCTGTCCATGTTCAGGAAGATTCGGTTGTAACAGTGTTGATCATCTGTCCATGTTCAGGAAGGTTCGGGTTGTAACAGTGTTGATCATCTGTCCATGTTCAGGAAGGTTCTGGTTGTAACAGTGTTGATCATCTGTCCATGTTCAGGAAGGTTCTGGTTGTAACAGTGTCAATCATCTGTCCATGTTCAGGAAGGTTCGGGTTGTAAGAGTGTTGATCATCTGTCCATGTTCAGGAAGGTTCTGGTTGTAACAGTGTCAATCATCAGTCCATGTTCTGGAAGGTTCAGGTTGTAAGAGTGTTGATCATCTGTCCATGTTCAGGAAGATTCTGGTTGTAAGAGTGTTGATCACCCGTCCATGTTCAGGAAGGTTCGGGTTGTAAGAGTGTTGATTGTTTGTCCATGTTCAGGAAGGTTCGGGTTGTAAGAGTGTTGATCATCTGTCCATGTTCAGGAAGGTTCGGGTTGTAACAGTGTTGATTACCTGTCCATGTTCAGGAAGGTTCGGGTTGTAAGAGTGTTGATTGTTTGTCCATGTTCAGGAAGGTTCGGGTTGTAAGAATGTTGATCATCTGTCCATGTTCAGGAAGGTTCGGGTTGTAAGAGTGTTGATCATCTGTCCATGTTCAGGAAGGTTCGGGTTGTAACAGTGTTGATCATCTGTCCATGTTCAGGAAGGTTCTGGTTGTAACAGTTTTGATCATCTGCCTTTTTATCCCACCGGCATGTAATGCGGTGGGATATACAGTCCGTTTGAGTCAGAAACGGACCGATGAATTGCAAATTTTATCATTGTACAAAATTGCCACCTAAATATAAATAGTACCCATGTTTATCATTGACTAATAACCAACAGCTTTCTTATATTTGAAAATTTTCCGGACTCCACCAAAAAAGTTCTTTAAGAAACTATTAGAGTAGCATGTGCACAAGTGCCCACCAAGTTATTGATTTTTTAGCCTGTGCTGTGCCGTCTCCATCCTTTCTCGCCCACCTGGCTGTCCCTTTCTCTGCACTCCTCCCTCGTAACAAATAGTGAACTGTGTCAAAATTTTGATGATAGTTTCTTAAAGAACTTTTTTGGTGGAGTCCGTAAAATTTTCAAATATAAGAAAGCTGTTGGGTATTAGTAAATGATAGTGTACTATTTATATTTATGTGGCAATTTTGGGGGGATATGTCATCTTCTGATGACTCTTGTTTAGAATGTATAACAAGTTTTGACTATGTCATTTATGAGATTAATTAATATGTTTTAACCGTCCTTGTACGTCCATGCAGCCTCTAAGTCTGCCTTTGAGGCGATCGCAATGTGGTGGCATCACAGAGGAAGGGAGGAGGCGACAAAGTGTGGCTATTTGCAGATTTTTGTCGCCAGTGACTGTGACCAAACTGACGCCTGCTGCTACGGTAAAGGCAGCACCGAGGGCAGTGAGTGCAAGCTGCGTCCCGGCAAAAGCTGCAGGTACGCACTGTCTAAAGGGAGATTCGGTTCGGTCAAGCTGATTGTCTCAGCAAATTGATTTAAGTTGTTCAGATACTGTGTTTAAGGAATAATAATTTGTATTGTGAAATGATAGGTATATTGTTTGATTAGTATGAGAGCTACTTGTTTAACGTATAGTAGATGGATGTTTGACGAGAGCTGACAGTTGGATGTTTGACGAACGATGATGGTTGAAACGATGATGGTTGAATGTTTGACGAACAATGATAGTTGGATGTTTGACAAACAATGATGGTTGAATGTTTGACGAACGATGATGGTTGAACGTTTGACGAACGATGATTGTTGAATGATTGATGAACAATCATAGTTGAATGTTTGACAAACAATGATAGTTGGATGTTTGACAAACAATAATGGTTGAATGTTTGACAAACGATGATGGTTGAACGTTTGACAAACAATGATAGTTGAATGTTTGACGAACAATGATGGTTGAACGTTTGACGAACAATGATAGTTGGATGTTTGACGAACAATGATAGTTGGATGTTTGACAAACAATGATGGTTGAACGTTTGACGAACGATGATGGTTGAACGTTTGACAAACAATGATAGTTGAATGTTTGACGAACAATGATAGTTGAATGTTTGACAAACAATGATAGTTGAATGTTTGACAAACGCTGATAACGAGATGTTTGATTGTGATGTTTGTTTTTCAGTCCAACAGCCGGGCCCTGCTGCAAAAGGACTGTACCTTTCAGACTGGCAACCTGTGCAAGAAGAAAGATGACTGCTCCAAGGATTCAACATGCGAATATCCTTTTCTAGAGCATGTACAATTTGAATACTGTAAATAATGAAATGAATGCGAGCATTTTATTAATGCGAAAAATGCGTCTGTACTCTTCTCGCATTATTATAATGACGCATTTCAGTCTGATCATGTCTACTTTTGAGAACTTAATGAAAGACAGAAAACGTAAATCTGTTGACACTACACATTACACCAATACAGGTCACTTCCTCATTACAGGTATCTCAAGCCACATAATTATCACTGGTTACAATCACTGGTCATTGTTTAAAGTCACTCAAGCACATCAGCCAGTTTGATTGGCATTTAGAAGTTGGTGACTAATAAGAAAGTAAGATTGTTTATGGATAACAACTTCTTTTATTATATATGATGCGATGTTTCGGTATGGACTCTTATACCGTTGTCTTGCTTGACAACGGTATAAGAATCCATACCGATACGTCGCATCATATATAATAAAAGAAGTTGTTATCAATAAACAATCTTACTTTCTTATTATTTTTTTTTTTTTCACACATCATCCAGACCGGACATTCTTCAGCCACTTGTTTGTTGTACCTGGGTAGATGACTTGTGTCTTTCAAGTCAGATTACGTTTATAAATGTTGTCATAAGACAAGTAGTAGCAAGCAATCACGTGATCAAACATTGCAGTGTAATCAAAACATTGTCAGCTCATTTTCATTCATTGCTTAACAAGCTCAATTCAGGTTATTTGGTAAATAACAAGTGTGAAAAGAAAAAGAACAACACCAAAGATTCAAGGTGTCACATTTTATCATCAACACAGATTCCTGAGCTCGCATTAATTTCGTGACGCATTTTAGACTAGACCCTCGCACTCACATTAAATTGGTGAAACATTAATTTCATGAATTACAATATATTATGAACATCATTTCTGCTGATGATTCAACTATCTTCACACCTATGCCCACAAGGCATGACTGGTCCCTGGTGACAAGTAGAGTATTTGAAAGTATATTTAAAGTTACACTCACTTAATTCAACACTGTCACCCCTCCCTTTATTGTTTTGCATACATCTGATTGCGTGGATTGTGTGGTCTGGCTTGGTGACTTGGTTAATTGAGTAATTTAGGAAACCATTGAAACAAACTATAAATAGTTTAATCAATGCATGAAGTAGGCTGTCATCTTGTGCTGTTGTCTCCCTTGACTGAAGCCACTGGAACAAAGGCTGCCTGTCCGGATCCACAGAAGGAGGCAAACAACACCTTCTGCAACAGCTTCTCTCAAGTTTGTACCATTGGGGTGAGTCATTGAACTGTGTAGAGAGGGTAAAGGTCACAGAACTGCACTGGGGAGAGGGTAAGGGTGAAGGTGAGAATCTAAGAACTGGGGAGAGGGTAAGGGTGAAGGTGAGGGTCTCAGAACTGAGGAGAGGGTCAGGGTCAGGGCCACAGAACTGAGGAGAGGGTCAGGGTCACAGAACTGGGCGAGGGTAAGGGTCAGGGTCACAGAACTGAGGAGAGGGTAAGGGTCAGGGTCACAGAACTGGGCGAGGGTAAGGATCAGGGTCACAGAACTGGGCCGAGGGTAAGTGTCTGGGTGAGGGTAAGGGTCAGGGAAACAGAACTGGGCCGAGGGTCAGGGTGAGGGTGACGGAACTGGGTGAGGGTAAGGGTCATGGTGAGGGTCGTGGAACTGGGTTGAGGGTGTCCGAACTGACCAGAGGGTCAGGGTGAGGGTGACGGAACTGGGTTGAGGGTCCGGTGGGTTGAGGGTGTCGAACCGACCAGAAGGGTGAGGTGGGTCCGAACTGACCAGGAGGGGTCAGGAACTGGGTTGAGGGTGTCCGAACCGACCAGACCAGGGTGAGGGTGTCGAACTCAGGGTGAGGTGGTCAGAACTGGGTGACTGGGGTGTCGAACTGACCAGACTGGGTCAGAGGTGAGGGTCCGGAACTGGGTGAGGGTGTCCGAACTGACCAGAGGGTCAGGGTGAGGTGACGGAACTGGGTTGGTCCTAACTGACCAGAGGGTAAGGTTGAGGGGTTGAAGAAATAGTCAGGGTTGAAAATAGTCAGAATGTGTTTAATTAATTGCATTGCTTTTACTTTAATTTGAATTTGTGTGCTATGATTATCTGTTTATGAAGCTGTTTGTGTTGTGTCCAGGAGTGCATCGGCTCAGTGTGTCAGAAGATTGGCTGGGAGGAGTGTTTTCTCACTTCCTCTGCCGACGGAAATGGACCATCCAGAGAGGAGCTTTGTTTTGTGTCACTTCTCTAAGTACCAGAACTGGACCACTAGAGGAGCAACTTTTTCGATGTGGTAAGTGAAGTACGGAATATACACTACTGAGCAACTCTTTCGTAAGTACCGGAATATACACTACTGAGCAACTCTGTTGTAAGTACCGGACTATACACTACTGAGTAACTCTGTCGTAAGTACCGGACTATACACCACTGAGCAACTCTGTCGTAAGTACCGGACTATACACTACTGAGCAACTCTGTCGTAAGTACCGGACTATACACTACTGAGCAACTCTGTCGTAAGTACCGGACTATACACTACTGAGCAACTCTGTACATTTTCTGGCTGTCTGATTTACCTGGATGTTTACAACTGCTTCCATTAAAAAAACATTCAAGGTAACTACTAACATGCTGTTGAAAAGTGCAGCAAATCTGATGTCAGATTGCTGCGGGTTTTATATTTGCGTAGAAATTTAATGTAATGTTAGTCATGTATATTTTTTCATATCTTAACAACCCCAAATTCTTCAAAATCCTTTTGAATAAAAAAATATATAATCACAGTTGTAAAAACTGAATGTAACCCATGGTGAGAGAGTGAGCGAGTGAGTGAGTTAGGCCTTTCGTCACTGTTAGCAATATTCCAGCTATACCATGGCAAGGGACACCTAGATATGAGCTTCACATGTTGCACCCACAATGGTCAGTACCTTGCAGCAACACTGGTAGTGTTTGCCTCTACATGGAAAGCCGACAATATATGAAGCCCATTTATGGTGTGCCTTCCCGTGATATTGCTGGAATATTGCTAAAAGCTGCGTAAAACTAAACTCACTCTACATAAAACATGTGTTGCAGGGAAAACAAGTACATCTGCCTGTGTGAGCTCCTACAACTCAGCCGAGATTGACAAGCCAGAAAATCTTGCTTTTAAGACCCTATTGGATGATGTGAAAAAATTGAAAAATGGCACAAGTTCTACCATACCCGGCATTCAGCTTCCTGCAGGTAAGTCGCTCTTCATTCGTTCTAATATATCACACCTTCTTAGTCACTTTGGAAGCTAAATGGTCTAATTTGTTATACAAATGTGTGATTGTCGCTAAAACTCTGCCTGACATGATAACTCAATTTCAGCCTGCATTTCCCTAACGTCTTTTCTGTTGTTTCCCTAACGTCTTTTCTGTTGTTTCCCTAACGTCTTTTCTGTTGTTTCCCTAATATCTTTTCTGTTGTTTCCCTAACATCTTTTCTGTTGTTTCCCTAATATCTTTTCAGTAGTTTCCCTAATATCTTTTCTGTTGTTTCCCTAATATCTTTTCTGTTGTTTCCCTAACATCTTTTCTGTTGTTTCCCTAATATCTTTTCTGTTGTTTCCCTAATATCTTTTCTGTTGTTTCCCTAATATCTTTTCTGTTGTTTCCCTAATATCTTTTCTGTTGTTTCCCTAATATCTTTTCTGTTGTTTCCCTAACGTCTTTTCTGTTGTTTCTAATATCTTTCTGTTGTTTCCCTAGCGTCTTTTCTGTTGTTTCCCTAATATCTTTTCTGTTGTTTCCCTAACGTCTTTTCTGTTGTTTCCCTAACGTCTTTTCTGTTGTTTCCCTAACATCTTTTCTGTTGTTTCCCTAATATCTTTTCTGTTGTTTCCCTAATTCCCTAACGTCTTTTCTGTTGTTTCCCTAATATCTTTTCTGTTGTTTCCCTAATATCTTTTCTGTTGTTTCCCTAACGTCTTTTCTGTTGTTTCCCTAACATCTTTTCTGTTGTTTCCCTAATATCTTTTCTGTTGTTTCCCTAACATCTTTTCTGTTGTTTCCCTAACATCTTTCTGTTGTTTCCCTAATATCTTTTCTGTTGTTTCCCCTAATATCATCTTTTTCTGTTGTTTCCCTAATATCTTTTCTGTTGTTTCCCTAATATCTTTTCTGTTGTTTCCCTAACGTCTTTTCTGTTGTTTCCCTAACGTCTTTTCTGTTGTTTCCTCCCTAATATCTTTTCTGTTGTTTCCCTAATATCTTTTCTGTTGTTTCCCTAACGTCTTTTCTGTTGTTTCCCTAACATCTTTTCTGTTGTTTCCCTAATATCTTTTCTGTTGTTTCCCTAATATCTTTTCTGTTGTTTCCCTAATATCTTTTCTGTTGTTTCCCTAACGTCTTTTCTGTTGTTTCCTAACATCTTTTCTGTTGTTTCCTAACGCCTTTCTGTTGTTCCCCTAATATCTTTCTGTTGTTTCCTTAATTCCCTAACGTCTTTTTCTGTTGTTTCCCTAATATCTTTTCTGTTGTTTCCCTAACGTCTTTCTGTTGTTTCCTAACGCCTTTTGTTGTTTCCCCTAACATCTTTTCTGTTGTTTCCCCTAATATCTTTTCTGTTGTTTCCTAATATCTTTCTGTTGTTTCCTAGCGTCTTTTCTGTTTGTTTCCCAACGCCTTTTTCTGTTGTTTCCCTAACGTCTTTTCTGTTGTTTCCCTAATATCTTTTTCTGTTGTTTCCCTAATTCCCTAACGCTTTTCTGTTGTTTCCCTAACGTCTTTCTGTTGTTTCCCTAATATCTTCTGTTGTTTCCCTAATCTTTTTCTGTTGTTTCCCTAATATCTTTTCTGTTGTTTCCCTAATATCTTTTCTGTTGTTTCCCTAACGTCTTTTCTGTTGTTTCCCTAACGTCTTTTCTGTTGTTTCCCTAATATCTTTTCTGTTGTTTCCCTAATATCTTTTCTGTTGTTTCCCTAACATCTTTTCTGTTGTTTCCCTAATATCTTTTCTGTTGTTTCCCTAACGTCTTTTCTGTTGTTTCCCTAACGTCTTTTCTGTTGTTTCCCTAACATCTTTTCTGTTGTTTCCCTAATATCTTTTCTGTTGTTTCCCTAATATCTTTTCTGTTGTTTCCCTAATATCTTTTCTGCTGCCCCGTGACGTCATTGGAGTTGCCTTTCTTGTTTGTGACGTCATCATACATTCCGTTCTATGAATCACAGTTTGTAAATCAGCGACCCATGTTGTTTGTTTTTATACAGCTTCTAAATTTCTTCTGATTTGATAAGCTACAAATTGTTCCATTTTAACTATAATAATGGTGATTTTTCAGGGTATTATTTGCAGAAGCCGAGTGTCTGTTCAGCTGACCTCTTTTGTCAGCCTGTTAATGGCAGACCTCAGGCTTTTGCAAATGATACCGCCCTGAAAGAATGTTACCCTTATGTTCATTCATGTATGCATGTCCCCCTATACATATGTATGCAGGTCTGTTATTCCCTTTTAACACATGTATACTGGTCTGTTATTCCCTCTCCACAAATATTTGCAGGTCTGCTATTCCCTCTTCACACAAGTATACTGGCCTTTTATTCCCTCTTCACTTATGTATACTGGTCTGTTATTCCCTCTTTACTAATGTATGCTTGTCTGCTATTCCCTCTTCACACAAGTATACTGGCCTTTTATTCCCTCTTCACTAATGTGTGCTTGTCTGCTATTCCCTCTTCAAACAAGTATATTGGTCTGTTATTCCCTCTTCACTAATGTGTGCCTGTCTGCTATTCCCTCTTCACACAAATATACTGGCCTTGTATTCCCTCTTCACTTATGTATACTGGTCTGTTATTCCCTCTTTACTAATGTGTGCTTGTCTGCTATTCCCTCTTCACACAAGTATACTGGCCTTTTATTCCCTCTTCACTTATGTATACTGGTCTGTTATTCCCTCTTTACTAATGTATGCTTGTCTGCTATTCCCTCTTCACACAAGTATACTGGCCTTTTATTCCCTCTTCACTAATGTATGCTTGTCTGCTATTCCCTCTTTACTAATGTATGCTTGTCTGCTATTCCCTCTTCACACAAGTATACTGGCCTTTTATTCCCTCTTCACTAATGTATACTGGTCTGTTATTCCCTCTTTACTAATGTATTTGTCTGTTATTTATTCCTCTTCACACAAGTATACTGGCCTTTTATTCACTAATGTATACTGGTCTTCTTTACTAATGTATGCTTGTCTGTTATTCCCTCTTTACTAATGTATGCATGTATATTCCCTCTTCACTAATGTCTGGTCTGCTATTCCCTCTTTACTAATGTATGCTTGTCTGCTATTCCTTCTTCACTTATGTATACTGGTCTGTTATTCCCTCTGCACACAAGTATACTGGTCTGTTATTCCCTCTTCACTAATGTATGCGGGTCTGTTATTCCCTCTTTACTAATGTATGCTGGTCTGTTATTCCCTCTTCACACAAGTATACTGGTCTGTTATTCCTTCTTCCCAAATGTATTTTTTTCTGTTATTTCTTGTTCAAACATTGCTTATTGCTTGTCTATGTTTCAGGATCTCCATGCGATAACTTCCGCGGCTACTGCGACGTGTTCCACCGATGTCGCGGTGTTGATGCTGATGGTCCACTTGCTCGGTTGAAGAACCTCATCTTTAACCCTGAGACTCTACAGTCTATCAGAGATTGGATTGTGGTAAGTTTAAAATACATCAAACTATTCTTACGAAAATAAGTACTTACTGCATCCTCAGTTTTCCAGTGTAGTATATATTGTTGCTCACTGAAGCTTGAGCCAAACTTGATTGTGGATTTCATGGGTCCTTTATATTGTAATGTAAATTCATTATCTAGAGCGAAGCAAACTTATTCAACTGTAACATTTTGTGTCCACAATAACAATACTGTTTCTATGTTTAATATCTTGTAATAGTTCTTTAAGGCCAGGATTCAAACCTATGCATATTTACAACAAGGCACATGTTTATTCTAGTAGTAAATTCCAAGGTTATGCTTTGACATCGCCAGGCTCTCGCCAGGCACCAATAGGCATTACAGTCCTGTCACTCAAGAGCAGATAACATCTTCATTGCTGAGAAGTAGCCAATGGGGTACTAATTTGAAACCCAGTTCGCACTCTCTTTGATTTTAGATTATCAACTGGACCATTATTTGCTGGATCTACAAAAAATGAGAATTAAAGAATAGTTGTCCAGCATGGGCTGAGTTTGACAGTGTCATGGCCTGTCATTATAATGCCTGTATGTCTGTCTCTGTTCAGCCTCAGATCCGGGTTAGAATTGATCTTCAGTAACCCATGCTTGTCGTAAGAGGCGACTTACAGGATCGGATGGTCAGGCTCGCTGACTTGGTTGACACATGTCATCACATCCCAATTGTGTAGATCGATGCTCATGGTGTCAATCATTGGATTGTCTGGTCCAGACTGTTTACAGACCGCTGTCATATAGCTGGAATATTGCTGAGGGCGGCGTAAAATAAACTCACTCCCTGTTTATCCTCACATTGTGACCTTGCCACTGAATACTGCGAACACTGCAAATACAGAGACTTCAGGCTGTCATGTGAGACTTTGGTGTTCCACTTTCCAATCTCAGGAGTTGATCTACAACTCTGCACTTAGTATCGTTGACAAAATATTCCTCAAAGCTGGAGTGAGAGAGTTTGGTTTTGTGCCACTTTTGGCAATATTCCAGCAATATCATGGCGGGGAACACAAGAAATGGGCTTTACCCATCGTACCCATGTGAGGAATGGAACCTGGGTCATTGGCGTGACGAGCAAATGCTTTAACCACTAGACTACAATTACAAACCCCCACCCCACATACCCTCTCAAAACTGGATAATTTAATGTTTTCATTTTGGTCGATTCTGTGAAATTGGGATTTATTTTAATACAAATTTATGTTTTGTTTACTGTTTTTCTGATGGAGTTTAATATCCACCTCTTCCCAGGTCCAAATAAGTTATTGTTACTTGACGCTTATCTCGTTGCTATTTCCAAACATACACCCATGACCTTGACCTTCAGGTGAACTGGTGGGCAGTGATGTTAATGGGCATCGGTCTGGTGGTGGTCATGGGAGTGTTCATCAAGGTCTGTGCCGTCCACACACCCAGCAGCAACCCACGGAAACCTGCTGCCAGGAAGCTAACATTACCACGACGACATGGTAACCAGGGAAACAAACCACAGGCTCGCTCAGTACCTGTACATGTAAGTAGCATTGTTTAACATTGTACCACGTTGGTGACCAAAAATATTATTCTCTGGGTAAGTCCGAAATGTTACCCAGAGACAAACTCATCCTGAAGAAAAGGGATGCAAGTTTTTAAGCTAGCAGGTGCTTGGATTCAGACTCTGTTGGAAACCTGCAATCCTGTTTTAGTTGTGAGTTTCAGGATTAACTTTAACTAATTTAGGAATGGTTTTGAACCCCATGTTATGAATGTGATGAAGACCGAATGGTTTGTTGTAACAGTGTTATTCAAGAATGGACAGTGTTTAATATGATTTGGTTCAACTTCCTGTCATGTGGATTTCATGTCAGAACAGAGCTCCAGGATTCTGTTACTTGTCTCCCTGTGGAGTTAACAGGTTAGAAAAGGTTCCCAAGATCTATTGCTTTTCTTCCTTTGGAGAATTGGGGTTATAGAACTGGTCCCCAGGATTGGCTAGTATAGAACTGGTCCCCAGGGATTGTATTGCTAGTCTCCTTATGGAGATTCCAGATAGGACAGGTCCCCAGGAGTCTGTTGCTTGTCTGTCTGTGGAGTCAGGCAGGACAGGTAAATTGTTGCTTGTCTCCCTATGGAGATTCCAGGTAGGACAGGTTCCCAATAGGATTCTGTTGCTTGTCTGTCTGGAGATTCCAGGAGATTCCAGGTGTAGGACAGGTTCCCAATAGGATTCTGTTGCTTGTCTGTCTGTGGAGATTCCAGGTAGGACAGGTTCCCAATAGGATTCTGTTGCTTGTCTGTCTGTGGAGATTCCAGGTAGGACAGGTTCCCAATAGGATTCTGTTGCTTGTCTGTCTGTGGAGATTCCAGGTAGGACAGGTTCCCAAGGATTCTGGATTCTGTTGCTTGATTCTGTCTGTGGAGGTTCCAGGTAGGACAGGTTCCCAATAGGATTCTGTTGCTTGTCTGTCTGTGGAGATTCCAGGTAGGACAGGTTCCCAATAGGATTCTGTTGCTTGTCTGTCTGTGGAGATTCCAGGTAGGACAGGTTCCCAATAGGATTCTGTTGCTTGTCTGTCTGTGGAGATTCCAGGTAGGACAGGTTCCCAATAGGATTCTGTTGCTTGTCTGTGGAGATTCCAGGTAGGTCAGGTCTCTGTCCAGGAGGTTCTAACAGGATTCTGTTGCTTGTCAGGTTCCCAGGTAGGACAGGTTCTGATTCTGTTGCTTGTCTGTCTGTGGAGATTCCAGGTAGGACAGGTTCCCAATAGGATTCTGTTGCTTGTCTGTCTGTGGAGATTCCAGGTAGGACAGGTTCCCAATAGGATTCTGTTGCTTGTCTGTCTGTGGAGATTCCAGGTAGGACAGGTTCCCAATAGGATTCTGTTGCTTGTCTGTCTGTGGAGATTCCAGGTAGGACAGGTTCCCAATAGGATTCTGTTGCTTGTCTGTCTGTGGAGATTCCAGGTAGGACAGGTTCCCAATAGGATTCTGTTGATTCCTTGTCAATAGGATTCTGTTGCTTGTCTGTTGAGATTCCAGGTAGGACAGGTTCCCAACAGGATTCTGTTGCTTGTCTGTCTCTGTTGAGATTCCAGGTAGGACAGGTTCCCTGTGGAGATTCCAGGTAGGTCAGGTTCCCAAAAGGATTCTGTTGCTTGTCTGTCTGTGGAGATTCCAGGTAGGACATGTTCCCAATAGGATTCTCTTGCTTTTCTTCCTATCCAGAGTTAGAACAGGTCCCAGGGATTGTAATTGCTTGCAGGAACTGTATGGATGTGGTTATCTGATGCTATGACTTACTCTGATTGTGTTATGTTACTAATTTGTCATAAGCAGCCATCAAAGATTGGTTGGTTGGTTTCTTGTTTAACACCTCACTCAGCAATATTCCAGCTATATGGCGGTGGTCTGTAAATAAACGGGTCTGGACCAGACAATCCAGTGATCAAAAGTATGAGCATCAATCTATGCAATTGGATGTAATAACGTGTCAACCAAGTCAGCAAGCCTGACCACCCGAACCCATTAGTCACCTCTTACGACAAGCATTGGTTACTGCAGACCAATTCTAACCGGGATCTTCACAGGTCCAGCAATCAAAGAACATTTTCAGATTTTGTAGGGGTCTCCAAATTGGTCACTCTGTGATGTGCTTGATTAGTCAAGTCATGTATGTCCTGCTGACAACTAAAACTGTTCTGACTCTTATCTGTATCCCTGCAGGATCCTCCACCACCCTACAGCAGTGCAGCCCATGGCGGACCCCCAGCCCCTGGGCATGGCAAGAATCATCATCGTCATAACAACAATAAACAGGGTGCAAAAAATAGCCGACAAGCACAACGATACGAGATGCAGCCTCGTGCATAGTCAGTACTGAACATTCTACTTGGACAGAGTCAGGGCTCAGTGATCGCTGGGATCTGATTCTGTGCATACATCCAATCCAACACCCCTGCTAATAAGGGGAGATAACCATGCAATGAAACTCTCTACAGGAACAATCAGCTATGTGTCATAGGAATTCCACTGATTTATCAAATTGTTTCAAATTTTAGAATATATTTTTCTCAATGAATTGATATAGGCACAATGATACAGCAATTAAATATACAGTCTGGTGTAAGTGTTTGCTATCCAAATACGCCAAGGCAGCTAGGTGATGTAGAACTGTATCCCATCGTGTTGGGAACCTCATATAAACCACACACTGTCCCTGTGCCATGCTAGTGGACATACCAGCCACACCAGTGAATAACTCTCATATCACACCAACCATCTGCCACAGTGAGTTTCATTGCATCCCATATTTTGCTACAATGTTACCAGTATGTTTGTATTGTGCCGTGTGGCGGTCACTGGTTAACCCGTTCTCACCTGACGTTTCTGTTCCAGTTCGGGGGTTCCCTACTATGATCGAGACGAGTACTACAGGTGATGTTGTTACTTTAGCAACATGTACTTTGTTATCATAGCAACATGTACTCGCATACCTAGATATCTAACCATAGGAAATGCTTCAGTTTTTAATGCAAATTAATTTATTGCAATTTGAATCAATTTCCATTGATTTTTTATCCTGCTGTATTTTGTTGATGTTCTGTTTTGATAAGACTTGTTTCTGTAAGAGATAATTCCAGTTAAATGATCTGATGAACCAGTGTGAGTTTAGAAAGTAGTATTAAAATTTATTTTCATTAAAAGTTTAAATGTTTAGCCTGTGATGAAACTGGACCTACTGCTAGTGTGAAGCTCCAGGGGTCGGATGATGCCTTGTGCTGATTGGTTGCATGTCCTGTCAATCAAACATTCATGTGACATACACAGTGGGTATCAGGCATGCTTTCACCTATATTTTATACCAATCTTTTCAATGAAGGACAGATAAGGAGAAATATTACCAAAGTTTAATTATCAATTTCAAATATATGTGTATATTTTTCATTGAAGTATTGTAATAATCTCTGTGGTGTTTATTATGTATACATATATATGCATAGAATGAGATAATTAATTTATTAGCTTCATGTGTGATAGAACTAGTGATTCATGAAGCACTACTGTTTTGTAGAAGTTTTTAGAAACAATTCTTTTATTCAATAAAGACTGCCACAGTGATCTTAATACCTTGATCCTGTGGGGATTATTACAAAGTACATAAATGCTATCACAAATTCTATTGGCTGACACTGGTTGCAGTGCTGTGATTGACAGATGGTTCACCATTCCCATTGGTTACTAACACAGCCAATCATCGCTTTGCATGGTTCCTGTAGAATGCTGCTGTAATGTTTCAGCAAAAATAATTGAGAAACTTTTATTTCATTTTTGCTGTTGGTTATCTTTCTTTATAGCCAGTTGCTCCTGATTTAAATACATCAGCACCCTAGTTTTGTAGATGGATTCTTCATATATACGCAGACCGAGTCACTACCATGTACCTTGTTATGTACCTTCTATGTTCATTTGCCTTCTATTAACAGTTGATCCTCAGATTCCATAATTGCTTGTTATCACACAACATTAAACACGGGATATACAGTAATTACTACATGGGCGGGGCGTGTTATTGTCTCTTATTTTCACTAACATTACAGTAGTTGGCTTTGTATTGAAAGAAAGACTTAGAGAGCTGTTTTCTCATCATCTGTATCCAATATATTCCTGGAAAAGGTTAAGCACCAGGCTGATATTTTTTGTATATACTGATAGTAGATGTACATATGACAGTGATCTCGTAGGTAGCCTAGGGGTTAAAGTGTCGCTCGTGTGACCCAGGTTCCGATCCCTTCATGGGTAAAATGTATTTCTGGTGTCCCCTGCCTTGATACTTCTTGAATATTGCTCAAAGTAACCTAAAACCAAACTCACTTATTTTGAAAACTGGCGCTGAAAAAAACAAAACAATACCATCTGAAAATTGTCTACAAGATGAGTTTGAGTTGTATGATGCGAAAAAGAAATGGGAAGAAAATGAAAGGACGTGAAACAGCAACCCTGTCAGATAATTCGTGTCATTTTCACATCAGTGTGTTGTTCCTTCGCAGTGGAAAAGAGACAGGGTAAGCTTCATTCTGCGACTTTATCCACTAGTCCCAAACCCTCTTGGAAACATTCTTCTGGTATTAGATTGTCTGGTACCGGTCCATGCACTAAGACCAATATCTGCTGTTATTTTGCCAAGATACACGTTTATTGGCTAGTAGATTGAAATGTTTTCTCCACAGATTGATAAGTTGTGCTTAATCTTTCTCCAGGTGTATAAAAAAATGGAAGCATAGTAGATGATTCTTCCATTATATTTCATAAACAATCACATTTTTTTCCAGGTCTCCATTTTCTGAGTGTTGATTTCATCTAAGGATTATTGTTTGACGTTTTCACAGAACATTTGATGCAACTTGGATGGTGTTGAGTGATAAGATGTGTTTGTATTTCTATGGTATCCATGGTATAACAGGCAATAGCACATGATTGGATTATATGACCTAATTGGGGCGTTGGGGTAGCCTAATGGTTAAAGCGTTGGCTCGTCACGCCGAAGACCCGGGTTCGAATCCCCACATGGGCACAATGTGTGAAGCCCATTTCTGGTGTCCCCCGCCGTGATGTTGCTGGAATATTGCTAAAAGAGGCGTAAAACCAAACTCAGTCAGTATATGACCTAATTAGTGTATAAGACGTAATGATAAAAATATAGGTTAATGATTGGTTTATTAAGATTTTTGACAAGGGTTAGTACTGTGTTATAAGAAAGTCATACTCATTTTGGGAAATAAGTGTGTAGAGAAAAAAGCCATCATTCTAGTAGTTCACTATGAAATTTTATTCATTTGGATTTAATTTGGATAAATACAAATGGCTGTTGTCTCGAGAGGAGGATATATCCCAAGTTTATTGTAGTGTGAGATACATTTCGTACCACATAGCCACGATGACACAAGCCTATCACTACCCTCTTGGGTACAGAGTGTTTTATACTCTCCTTCTGTGTTAACCCATTCGTGTACATACATCCACTACCACTAGTGGGGTGGCGCAAGATGGTGATAGCTACGTATCCCATCCTTTTATACCTATTATATCACACCCCATGTGACGCCCCTACCATCTCACTGTATCTTATCTCATGTGTATATAATATGATCTTGATTTGAATGTTTTGAAGACATGTAATTTATTTCCTTATTCTTGGATTCTTCCTTGTGTGTTTGTCCCTGGATATAGCTGGACACAGCTCACACACGTGTGATCTGGAACCCACAGCTGCATGTATGCTTCAGTTTTTAGCATTGGCCTTTTGACCTGCATCAGAATCCGGGAGAGGAGGTCAAGGAAGGCAAAGGTCATTGCAATGTAACTCCAACATCTGTCAAACTATGTTTATGAGAAGGTATATATCACATGAATGCAATATTAACACATATATAACGGATAAAGTTACAAACATGCTCCTGCATAAAGTTTATGTATGGATTGGCTCATTTGTAAGCCTTTTCCAGTCCTATGAATTCTTGACCTTTTAGCTTTTCAAGGGCTCAATTCTATTGGCTGCTGGCGTCTGTTATCTGTAAGGAAAGGTTGTGGGCCCAGTTTTCTTATTCACTCTTCCACACATACCATATGTCCATTTATAGGAACATTTGGTTCCTTGTTCTCCAGCAGTCCAGGGGCGGTGGGGTAGCCTAGTGGTTAAAGCGTTGGCTCGTCACGCCGAAGACCCGGGTTCGAATCCCCACATGGGTACAATGTGTGAAGCCCATTTCTGGTGTCCCCGGCCGTGATGTTGCTGGAATATTGCTAAAAGCGGCGTAAAACCAAACTCAGTCAGTCAGTCAGTCCAGCAGTCCACCTTTCTAAACAAACCCGTAGGTATGGTCAGCTTGGTTTGTTTCAAGGGTTGGTGTATGGGTGGCCCTGATGTTTTAGCTAAGGAAACTTGGCCCACAACAGTCTTCTAGGCCTGGTTTTGGATATGGGCAATGTTGTGTATCTTAACTATATGATTGTAAGGCCACAATGCTTCTACTGTGACCACGACACTGTTCCCAGGCTCATACATTTATTACCTATGCTAGTGATGTAACAATACAATTCAGTGTGTGTCAGTGGTGGCTAAAGGCACAACTAAAGCAAAGTTATGAAACTGAACTCACTTAAACTACCATTTTAACAGTTCACTTCTTACGATTTGACATCATCCTCCCTAATGCAGGGTATTGTGTCTCTGTGCTATGAGGATAAGTACCCTGGACCCGCTTTGTTAAAGAAGCGACATTTCTGTGTTCCACTATGTTCCACTACTACACAGTATTGTGTTGAATTGTTACACCTCTAACCATTATCATGTTGACACCCATGTAAACCTCTAAGTTGAAAAGTGTACAACTCTGAAGGGAGACAACTCTGCACAGCGGTCTTCCATCTTGTCTCCAGTATTAAAGTTTCTGTCTCACTTTTTCCTTCTGCTCAGCAGTTACCTCCCTTATGTAAAATGCTTCTGCCCTCCATTACACAATGGCATGGTAAGAAATTTGTCATCAGAGGAAAAACATGGTTAGATGTTCATTTCCTTATGCTGAGAAAGAGCACAAGTAAGAAGCATTATGTCCATGCTTGGGGAAATCACCAACAAGTAGCATTTCATAATGGGAACGCTGACAATGTTTCATTTTGCCTTCATTGTTAAAATGACCTTGACGTAAGGGAGGTAACTTGTGTCATGTCTTCACCACCAAAGAAGTGTTTTGCTTTCATTTTCATATTACCTTTTTACTTTTATTACCCAGCAGCTCACTCCTCAAACTAGTCTTGTTGCTGTGACTGTGGTCCATGTTATAATTTCTGGTTAAAGGGGTCTTTGCTTGGCAATGGGACAACCCCAGCAAGTTTGACTCAGCTGGTTCAAACACTAACCTGTCTCTAAAGTAATTTGTTTAGCACATTTGGTATAACTGCTGATCATTACAAACGATTGACAGGGTGTCTGCTTCACACAGCACTTCAAAGAATAATCAGAACCAATTTGTTTTGAATGAAAAGAGGCCCATCTGAGAGTATTCCACAGTGAGTCCCTTAACCGGGCAAAAGAGCTTGAAGGCTAGTCCCTTCTAGCATGGGATCCCAGTCGAGGCACAAAGACAGTGTTTCAGAGGAGAGTCCTGCTCACCTTTAGTTTTCCTTTTTACAGAGACAGCATATCCTATATTGTCACTGCTTGTTTGTTTTATCCAGGCTGATGAGCAGGCTGTAGTATTTCCCTTTTCGTATGATGCTAAATGACCACCAATTGCTTGCTTTCACATCACAGAAGAGCTTTGATACTTCGTTGATCGAATAAAGTATAAAACCTGCCAGCCAAAGTGTTGAAATTTTGGTTTGGTGTAGGGGAGATAACTCTGTTTATTTTGAGATTGAGCTGTGAGAGGTGTTGTATATTTTCGGATCAGATGAGATTCATGTCTAGTGTATCATTGTCATTCTTTATGAAGAAGAATAAATGTTTTTTATACAACCAGTTCGTCGGCTTGTGTATGTAAAGTGACGTGTCATCCCTTGGATAACCTGGATTAGAATGGGCTTGTGTTTAGAGGCATGTGACTTGGTTGATTGCATGGCATCAGTCATTCCCCGACGGGGCGGTGGGGTGGCCAAGTGGCTAAAGCGTTGGCTCGTCACGCCGAAGAGCCGAGTTCGATTCCCCACATGAGTACAATGTGTGAAGCCCATTTCTGGTGTCCCCCGCCGTGATGTTGCTGGAATATTGCTAAAAGCAGCGTAAAACCAAACTCAGTCAGTCATTCCCCGACTGCGAGGGACGTTCCTCCCACCAGCGAGCCTGACTGGGTTGTCTAGTCAAGACTCGATTATTTATAGATCGCCGCCATATTGCTGTGGCGATAACCAACAGACAAACAAACAAATATGAACGCTACATGGACATTGTGCCCACTCAGCGTTGTTCATGATCAACACACGCTCACCTGAACACACATGTTCATACTCTTGTGAAACCAAGTCGGGGGACTGGGAGTATTAACGTCATTATTCATCCATGTATACTCAGCAAACCAAGTCACGTGACAGGGAATATCAGTCAATTCCGTGTGATATGAATATTTATTGTCAGCATGGTTAATGAGAGAGTGAACAGGCTTGTTATATCCTACAAGCAAATATACAATAATTTGGTAAGTTAATCAAACAGTGGATGTATTGATACTTATTGTTGATTGTTGTGTATTGCATGCACCACATAGAGAAGAAAAACGTAAATCAACATGTTTTCGAGTTTCCTTCTATTTCTTTTTGTTTGTCCACACGTGGACATTTCAATAGAAACGTACACTGAAGATATACATTGATACATACTATCTTCATACAAGTTACAGGGGCTGTGGGGTAGCCCAGTGGTTAAAGCGTTGGCTTGTCACGCCGAAGACCCGGGTTCGAATCCCCACATGGTACAATGTGTGAAGCCCATTTCTGGTGTCCCCCGCCGTGATGTTGCTGGAATATTGCTAAAAGCGGCGTAAAACCAAACTCAGTCAGTCAGTCAGTCAGTCAGTAATACAAGTTACAAGAGTACCGTCCATTCTGTCTGCCAGGCTGTCTGAACTTTCCCAAGGACACATCCTAACGCCGCAATGAAAGCAAGATTAGGCCTAAATGTTGGACAGGGCGGTGGGATAACCTAGTGATTAAAGCGTTCGCTCGTCACGCCGAAGACCCGGGTTCGATTCCCCACATGGGTACAATATGTGAAGCCCATTTCTTGTGTCTCTCGCCGTGATATTGCTGGATTATTGCTAAAAGCGGCGTAAAACCATTCTCGCTCACTCACTCACCCCAAATGTTGGACAACCCGTATGCACTCGTAACTAAACAACTGCGCCCCTTTTCACAAAGCCATCCTTGCGCTAAGGTGCTCGTAACTCCCATACTAACATAGACTTACGACAGTCGTAGCGCTCAGGTGGTCGTAACTCCCATCCTTTAACATAGACTTACGACAGTCGTAGCGCTACGATCGCTTTGTGAAACGGGCCCCTGGACAATTCGTCACTGAAAACAGTCTTAGTATCCCGACCTGAGCATAATCTCGAGTCATTATTAAATGTCCCGAAACGGCTGACGTTTTTCAACGCCAAGCAAATTCTTGTCAAGAAGTTATCACCGCATCACACGCTTTGCTGGTGGTATCAAGGCCGTGGAAATGGCCAAGGTCTGGCGTATTATCTGGTGTACAATACAAAAACCGCCTTGTTCTCCATTCTGTGGTTTGGTGCTTCCAGAAAGTGTCCAGTATATTTTTGTTTATTTTAAAACATTTACTAAAAGAATCCATGGCCTCGTCCTTAGCCCAGGTGACCTGGTGGTTCCACATAGGGAGGAACCCGTGACGACGGCTGCATCAATCATGGCATTGCCATAGCTCGTTTTACTCTGTAAACCCCCTTATGTCCTCTCCACCCAAACAACAAAATGGAATAGGAATAGGCCTATATAATCTTCGATGGTTTGAGGCCAGATCTTTCAACATCTTGTCCATTGTCATCAAGTCTTAGTCCTGTATAATAATGCGCCTGCGTTAAAACATAGAGTTAAGAAATACACTTCGCCCTACCACCATGTATAGTGTAATAAAACACACTTTTGCCCTGAACTATTATAGTTAAAGCACGAGGACGCTTTCGTCCGAGTGCTTTAACGTTATAATAGTTCAGGGCGAAAGTGTGTTTTATTACACTATACATGGTGGTAGGGCGAAGTGTATTTCTTTTCTAAGATGCCAAATTTAATACTTTATAAAGATAATTACGATTAATTTAAGGCAGAAAACAAAACGACGGTGTCGGTGACCTAAATTAAGAATCCTCGCACAGGGCTAACTGGCGCGCTGTTCTATTGATGTGTCTGCCCCCTACGTTAAGACGAACGTTACCAGAAAAAAACCAAATGATAACAGTTTGATGACGGTTTAGTTCGGATTAAATATCTTCTCTGAATTATTTTAATTACATCTGTCATTAAAGTAAACCATATGGGGCAATATGAACGTTGCATTTCTACTACCAGCGTAAGGTTAGATCAGTACATCCAGAGGAAGTTGAGTAGTCAAGAGACATTCCACAATTGCATTGTGGGAATGTAAACATTACGAACGTTACCGTGTCGCTGAAAACTTGTGAGTCGAAATGACACATTTTAACCGTCGTAAAACATAAACGTAATGTTTCCACCAGTGATGTTAGCTGCGTGAAGCAACAGCAAACCAAGAAACTGGATGCAGCGGTGTAGTTTACTGTAGGAGGCCGTACGAGGCGATGACAACTGACATGCATCGTGACGGCGCTTACATTGTGACGTAATGTAAAATGGTTCGATTACGAGGGGGCAGACTAGAATGGCGCAGTGACGGGATAACGTCATTCAATTGTTACGTCATCAAAAAACTATACCATTATTGTCTGATAATGTTTGTTTTTTTCGATTGTTCTCACCGCTAGACATCTTAGAATCTCTGTTATTGCAACGAAACAGCATTACTTTGAGCATTACAATTTACGGCATGGGTCCTAACTTCCTAAATTGTCTGAGCACACGTTTCAGAAACCAGATGGACCGACTTCCCTTTCCTGTTGTTCAGGTTGGTGATGCTCTACATCACCCGTATGACTGATCAAAGGTCCTTGACATCTTCCAAATGTTGATGAAGAGACATTTCTCCTCTTCCCAATTCAAATCTTGGGGTTGGTGGGGTAGCCTAGTGGTTAAAGCGTTCGCTTGTCACGTCAAAGATCCGGGTTCGATTCCCAATATGGGTACAATGCGTGAAGCCTATTTCTGGTGTCCCCTGCCGTGATATTGCTGGAATATTGTTAAAAGCGACGTAAAAGTAAACTCACTCACTCACTCCAAATCTTGCACAATGGACATCTCAACTCCAACCTCTACTGTATTGTATACTAAAAGGCTTCTTCTCCCTGCCCAAGCTGTTTTTCTACTTCGTCTAGATGGTTAAGTACAAAGCTGGTGATGAAGCAGTGTCATGGTGTCTTCTAGCGAAAGAAGTAATTGTTTCTGGTATAGAATGACCAGAAATTATTGATAATTTTAGGAATATGTTTAATTGGATTTCTATATATATAAACAACCTTGACCAGCTATCAAGTGCTTGGTTTCATTCAAGAGAGACAACTCCGTTAATCCTTTTTCATTAGTTTGTGAAGAGTTATCCCCCTTTGTTTACTTGCTAGCAGACGACATTTTCAGTGATCCTCAGTATGGATGATTTAGAGAAGAGGAAGTTGATTTTAGAGTATTATAACAAGGACATCAGATAGGCTAAAGTGATTTCAAGTAGAACAGGCATCCTTTTGTCCACTGTTTATCGTGTTCTGAAAAATATTGCAAATGGATATGGCACTGAGCACCAGGGAGGCGCAGGTAGGCCCAGAAAATTGACTGTCGGTGACAGGAGGTCGCTTGGTATTCTTGTTTCTAAAAACAAACGAAGGAGTTTAGAAAACTTAAGGCTGGATATGACTGATAGAGGAACTGTGGCTGTCTGTAAGGAGACAATTAGAACTGAGCTGCATGCAATGGGTTGGCAGAAAAGTCGAGGAATTCCATCACCAATCATGAAACCTGAACAAAAGGAGCGAAGGTTGAACTGGTGCTTACAGCATATAAATTTTAACTGGGACAATGTGATTTTCTCTGATGAAAGTTCTGTGTTGCTATTTCCTAATACACTGAAATTCTGGACCAAACAAACTGAAAAACCTTTGTAACAGCGCCCAAAGTACAGTCTGAAATTTAACGTGCTGGGTGGCATATCTGTGTTAGGGTCAACGCCCCTCTGTGTAATTGAAGGGAATATGAACAGTGAGCGGTACACAGATATTCTCGAGGGATATTTACTTCCACCTGCTCACGTGTTCTATGGAAATTTGTGGATTTTCCAGCAGGACAACGACCTAAAACATCGTTCAAAGCATTCACTGGCCTGGTTTCGGACCCAAATATGACATTAGATTGGCCAAGCTATAGCCTTGACCTAAATCCAATAGAAAATGTTTGGGGACTTATGAAGGAAAGTGTCAATAAGAAAAATCTGACAAATATTGCTGAAATGAAAGAAGAGGTGGTCCGATATTGGGACAGCATAGACCACGACTTTCTAACTTTTTTGATTAGTAGTATGCCCCGCCGCATTGAAGCCTGCATTGCTGCCCATAGTGACTTGACAAAATACTAACTGTTCACCTGTCCTGAATCTGGAGTTATGTTCTGCTAATATTCACATTTAAAACGTGAGTATTGAGTGAAAAAAATTAAAAAATATTTAAATTATCTATAGTTTCTGGTTGTACTGTATATATATAATATGTCAATACTCACGGAATATATTGTTAAAGGTCACATGCAACGTAAAACACAACTTTGCAGATTCTGATACCTTTCGGTATGGACTTACCGAAACAAAGCGTCAAAAATGCAAATTCAACTTATAAATAAAGAAACGAAACGCGCGAAATCGGAGTTCAAACGTTTCCCTAATTTTCCCCAGACTTTTTCTGGGGAATACGGGTTTCAACAGCTGGGCTGCGCTCATAGCATGTGCGCAGTGAAATAGGTTCGCGCAACTTGGAAGCGGGCTGTCTGGTGAATACTCGGTGAAGGCTTTGGTGTGAGCTATTTTCATAATGTTTTGTTGATATCTCACAGGCGCGAGCTTTTTATATGTTATGACAGTAAATAAACTGTTTATATAATTTCATTTGTCTATTTAACCACACGTTCTTCTTACCGAGTCACTTTCTCAGTTCGATACTTAAAAGCAATGTCATTATTTAGCGTTGACAGAATTTCTAACTGTGATATAGATATGTCGTTGTCACAGACAAAACTCAATGTCTTGTTTTATTGACACCTGTGTGTCTGCCTGCCTGTCTGCTAATGACAATATTCAATACACAACTGTGATCACTGACCACATGCAATTTGAACTTAACACCAATCAGGCTATACACCATGAACAAAACACATTGATTTATGGCCCGAGTTCGGTCTCTGTCACATTATGTAATTACACAGACAGGCAGGTGTGATACTTGAACACATGACATGTTATGATGTCTGTTGATTGCAAAATGTTATACACAAAAAATGAGCATGTATTTACAAAACCCAACATGAGCCGTGAAGGCGGCATCTGCTAATGAACCAGCCGTTACACTTGAGTGCACACCCACCCGCTCTGACTGGGTTCGGTATCCCGGCTGCTTCGTTTCGGGGGAGGTAAACCCAAGTACAAAATATTGCACTTTTGATTTGCGATAATACGCTTATAATTTTGTTTATTTGTTTTTTCATAATCAGCAATGCATATAATATGTCATGAAGAAGTGATAATTGTGTTTTAATTATGTTTGATTTTTTGGTTGCATGTAACCTTTAAGCCTAGTGGTTCGCTCGTCACGGCGAAAACGCAGGTTCGATTCCCCACATGGGTACATTGTGTGAGGCCATTTCTTGTATCCCGTGCCGGATTATTGCTGGATTATTGCCTCGCTGGATTGATAAAGAAATATTCACATCATTGATAAGTTGTGCACCTTATCAACATGAGAAGTGTGTGTCACATCACTGTCTGCTGATGCCGATCACGTCGTCAGTCTGCGTGACGTGCATGAGCGGGATCTCACCTGCATGTGTAGATGATGTCCAGGTGATACAGAATGACCGAGCTGCTGCTGCTGTTGTTGTTTCTGTGTGCGGTGTTGTTGTGTGTCGTCGTCAGTCGGGGGAAGGGTCCAGTGCCCCCTCACCTGTACTACAGAAAGTCAAGTCCGTTTGTGGCTGGTGTCCTCGCGGCGTGTCCAGTATTCCTAAGACCGTAAGTTTAACACGCGCACCTGTTGCTGTTCAAAAGGTACGGCCTTCTACCTGGTGATGTTTATAACTGCATTTTTTTGGAAATGGGAACACGTCTTTCCATGTGTGAATGTACGATAAAAGTGTCGCACGAACTGTAAGTTTTAAATATCTTGTCACATGTAAACCGGATTACTACAGCTAAACACAACTGCAACAAACTGTAGTTTTGTGAGTGAGTGAGTGAGTTGCGCTACGGCATGTCACCGGGATGTAGAAGCAAAGCCTGAAGTGATGTACGTCTTGGACGTTTACCTTTTTGGTGAAACCCGGAAGCAGGGTTGAGGTGCTGACACAGTACTGACTGACTGAGTTTGGTTTTACGCCGCTTTTAGCAATATTCCAGCTACATCACGGCGGGGGAACACCAGAAATGGGCTTCACACATTGTACCCATGTGGGGATTCGAACCCGGGTCTTCGGCGTGACGAGCCAACGCTTTAACCACTAGGCTACCCCACCGCCCCGACAAAGCTGAATATAAGTAGGAGTGAGTGAGGTGGGTTTTACGTCGCTTTTAGCAATATTCGAACAACATCACGGCGGGGGGACACCAGAAATAGGCTTCACACACATTATACCCATGTGAGGGATCGAACCCGGGTCTTCAGCGTGACGAGCGGACCCTTAATCACTAGGCTACCCCACCAACCGCAAGATTTGGATCAGGAAGAGGAGACATGTCTCTTCTTCAACATTTGGAAGAGGTCAGCGACCTTTGATCAGTCAGTGATACAGATGATGTAGAGCATCACCAACCTGAATAGCAGGAACGGGAAGCCGGTCCATCTGTTTTTTAAAACGTATGGTCAGACAAAGGCTAAGACAATGTAGGAATTAAGGCCCCAAGCCGTAAATAAAGGAGGAACATTATCGGGGTGAAAATATGTTTCTGGCGTATCCCAGGAAAGCAATTCTAAACAGCTAATCGCCTCCCCTCAGACGATTGGCCACCCTTCCCTCTCGTGCAACCGTGCAACCTTGCTGCTGTGATCCCCACCCGACCAAATCCCCTCCATAACGAAAATATATTTTGTTCTTTCTCTCGTTTCATCTCAATTGTACGTTTTATTGTGTGTATTGGTAAACGGTAAATTGGTATTATGGTATATATATATGTATATGCATGCACGCGCACACACACACACACACACATAGACCAAAAGAATAAGATTGTTTCGACATTATTCATTTGTTATTATTGGATGTTTATATAGCTCACATATCAACGCACTGGTGCATGCTCAAGGAGCTCGTATTTTTGTTTACGAGGTACCCATTCACAGCTGGGTGGACTTGGACACATAGTCACAGTACTTTGTCCAAGTTTACTGCACGTTGCTGTACCCGCAACTAGGTGTTTGCACGTATTCATGTGGCCACTATCTAGTCATATACCAACGGATTCGTGGGTTGTTTTAAGTGCACAGATTTGTGTACTGTACACTAGGGTTTGCACGTATTCATGTGGCCACCATCTGGTTATATACCAACGGATTCGTGGGTTCTTTTAAGTGCACAGATTTGTGTACTGTACACTAGGGGTTTGCACGTATTCACGTGGCCACCATCTGGTTATATACCAACGGATTCGTGGGTTGTTTTAAGTGCACAGATTTGTGTACTGTACACAAGGGTTTGCACGTATTCATGTGGCCACCATCTGGTTATATACCAACGGATTCGTGGGTTGTTTTAAGTGCACAGATTTGTGTACTGTACACTAGGGGTTTGCACGTATTCATGTGGCCACCATCTGGTTATATACCAACGGATTCGTGGGTTGTTTTAAGTGCACAGATTTGTGTACTGTACACTAGGGGGTTGCACGTATTCATGTGGCCACCATCTGGTTATATACCAACGGATTCGTGGTTGTTTTAAGTGCACAGATTTGTGTACTGTACACACCAGGGTTTGCACGAATTCATGTGGCCACCATCTGGTTATATACCAACGGATTCGTGGGTTGTTTTAAGTGCACAGATTTGTGTACTGTATAGGGTTTGCACTTATTGTGGCCACCATCTGGTTATATACCAACGGATTCGTGGGTTGTTTTAAGTGCACAGATTTGTGTACTGTACACTAGGGGTTTGCACTTATTCACGTGGCCACCATCTGGTTATATACCAACGGATTCGTGGGTTCGTGGTTGTTTGGCGCACAGATTTGTGTACTGTACACTAGGGGTTGCACGACGTATTCACGTGGCCACCATCTGGTGTTGATATACCAACGGATTCGTGGGTTGTTTTAAGTGCACAGATTTGTGTACTGTACACTAGGGTTTGCACTTATTCATGTGGCCACCATCTGGTTATATACCAACGGATTCGTGGGTTGTTTTAAGTGCACAGATTTGTGTACTGTACACTAGGGGTTTGCACGTATTCATGTGGCCACCATCTGGTTATATACCAACGGATTCGTGGGTTGTTTTAAGTGCACAGATTTGTGTACTGTACACTAGGGGTTTGTACGTATTCATGTGGCCACCATCTGGTTATATACCAACGGATTCGTGGGTTGTTTTAAGTGCACAGATTTGTGTACTGTACACTAGGGGTTTGCACGAATCTGGTTATATACCAACGGATTCATGTGGCCACCATCTGGTCATATACCAACGGATTCGTGGGTTGTTTTAAGTGCACAGATTTGTGTACTGTACACTAGGGGTTGCACGAATTCACACGAATTCATGTGGCCACCATCTGGTTATATACCAACGGATTCGTGGGTTGTTTTACTGTACACTCTAGGGGGTTGTGCAATCTGGTATATACCAACGGATTCGTGTTGTTTTAAGCGCACAGATTTGTGTACTGTACACTAGGGGGTTGCACGAATTCATGTGGCCACCATCTGGTCATATACCAACGGATTCGTGGGTTGTTTTAAGTGCACAGACTTGGGTACTGTACATTAAGGACATGTTTTCCTGGTTTCAGGTACACGCCCACCCGCTTGTGGGGCCGAAGTGGCCACATCCAGACAATAGTGTACAGCAAGCTAGAACGGTGGCATCACCCAAACCTTCACGGGCGACGTCATGAACGTGTTCTGTCCGACGGTGCGACATCAACATTTGACGTGTTCGAGGCAGCATGTGAGCATCGGTCTGGAGGTGACTACATCATATAGCGGATCCTGTATACAAACTAGCGGATCCTGTTATGGAATATTGACTGTTAGGGATTCATCATCCATGATGTCCGGCGATAAGTTAAGCCACGCTATTTTAATTACATGGTTAATGAAGTCGACCGACCGATGCCAACAGCCTTTATCTTAATGTAATGTATTTGCGTCAGTGTGTAGTTGCCTGGCAGCGCTATGTAAATTTGATGAACGTTAAAAAAGGTACAACTAAAACACATAGTTTCAAATTTAGTTTGTGAAAACACAGTATTTGTCCTATTTAGTGCATGAAGTATTTAGCTGCCGAGAAACAATACAGCCTTAGTTTTCTTCCAGAAGCAGATAGCTGTAAAAGTCATGTGTTGTATTTCATGAGGTGTCGTCCTTTTCATGTAGTGTCCTGAGTTTCATGTACTTCTTTGTGGTTGATGCAGGCGACCTCTCCATGCTGGTGTGTCCCGGCATCGCCAACAGCAGCGAGAACCCATACATCAGGGCCTTCGCCGCCGTGGCCGTGAGAGACGGCTACAGAGTGGCGGTGCTCAATCATCTCGGTGTTTTAGCCGACCAGAAGCTCACATCACCTCGGGTGTTTGATTACGGTGAGTGGTCTCCCTTGTCGACTGAAACTGGAAGAACTGCAGCAAACGAACGCCTGAAGTTTGTCATCAATCCTGTTTGAGGCACCAGCCAGGTCAAATGGGAGATAAACTGCTCCCAACCCTATTTTGGGGGACGCATGATTTCGGGGTCTGTTTGGCAGTTAGTCAGGACGCAGCAGGTGGTAGGCAAGATGCAAATATTATCGTCTTTGGTTTCCAACATTTAATAGAAATAATAATTGTGTTCGTAAAAATGCTTTTATACTTTTATTATTTTACGATATTTGTTCAGGGATTAAACTTCAGATACACCTATTCTCTATGTCTGTTCTAATAGGGATTGTGGACGGAGCAGTGAGTGGATGTTTTCGGGGTTTGTGTTGGACTGGGAAGGCATTCTGAGCCACACTTTCTGATCAGTTCCCTCTTACGGCAAGCATAGTCTGCTGAAGACCGAGTCTGTCCCGGAATTACATGATGGACAATCGTGGGTCCTTAAGACCAGTTGAAACTGGGACAATCATGGGTTCTTGAAGGCACAGTTAACGCGGATTATCAACAATTCTAAGATGCCTAGCGGTTAGAACAATCGAAAAAAAACAAACATTATCAGACAATAAAGGTATAGTTTTTTTGATGACGTAACAATTGAATGACGTTATCCCGTCACTGCGCCATTCTAGTCTGCCCCCTCGTAATCGATCCATTTTACATTACGTCACAATGTAAGCGACGTCACGATGCATGTCAGTTGTCATTGCCTCGTACGTTTTCCTACAGTAAACTACACCGTTGCATCAAGTTTCTTGGTTTGCTGTTGCTTCACGCAGTTAATATCACTGGTGGAAACATTACGTTTATGTTTTACGACGGTTAAAATGTGTCATTTCGACTCACAAGTTTTCAGCGACACGGTAACGTTCGTAATATTTACATTCCCACAATGCAATTGTGGAATGTCTCTTGACTACTCAACTTCCTCTGGATGTACTGATCTAAACTGTAGAAATGCAACGTTCATATTGCCCCATATGTTTACTTTAATGACAGATGTAATTAAAATAATTCAGAGAAGATATTTAATCCGAACTAAACCGTCATCAAACTGTTATCATTTGTTTTTTTCTGGTAACGTTCGTCTTAACGTAGGGGGCAGACACATCAATAGAACAGCGCGCCAGTTAGCCCTGTGCGAGGATTCTTAATTTAGGTCACCGACACCGTCGTTTGTTTTCTGCCTTAAAATAATCGTAATTACGACGCAAGCGTCCTCGTGCTTTAACTATAATAGTTCAGGGCAAAAGTGTGTTTTATTACACTATACATGGTGGTAGAGCGAAGTGTATTTCTTAAATAATTCATGTGCAAACATACGAACGGACAGATCGACTGCCTGACAGACAGTGAGTAAGTTTAGTTTTCCGCCGCTTTTAGAAATATTCCAGCAATATCACGGCCTATTTCTGGTGTCCCCCGCCGTGATATTGCTGGAGTAGTGCTAAAGGCGGCGTAAAACTAAACTCACTGACACATCCCTGCCTTGTTAACGTGAATTATCTCCCTTCTCTTTTAATGTTAACAAGAGTTACTTTCCCTACAGGAAGTACGACAGAGTTCCACCACATGGTGGAAGATATGATGAAAATGTATCCCAACAGCAGCTTCCTGGCTGTCGGTTTCAGCATGGGCGCCAACATCATCACCAAGTATCTCGGTGAGCACCCGGACAATCAGAAGCACTTCATCTGTGGAATGTCCCTGTGTCAGGGGTACGACATTGCCAGGTGGGACACGTGCTATGGCTTTTATCGACCAGTTATGATATATACTCTGCAAAAAAAGAAACGCACAGGTGATAATGAAATTTAAAATTAACTTTATTTTATTTCTATGCAAACAAAACCCGGTTACTTTAACCAAACATAATGTATACTTGTTCATATCCATTAAGTATCGCTCAAACACACCATTTCATGAAATATTGTTGTTTGATGATGGTTTTTGAAAATATCATGAAATTTTCACGTGTAAATGACACTTCGAACGATATGCACGTGAAAGTTGCTTCACCTATGCACCAGTGTGTAGGGTATATATGAGGAAGGCAGTTTAACGTGTTCAATTCACTTTCAACGCCAGTTTACTGACGAATTCAACATGCCACGACTTAGCGAAGCTCACCGGAACATCGCCATCGGACGTCTTGAGGCTGGCGAATCTCAGTCATCAGTTGCAAGACACTTCAACGTGCATCACACAACAATTTCCCGTTTATGGAGGCGCTACAATCGGGTCTCGGGCTCGACCCGCGACCGACCTCGGAGTGGTAGACCACGGGTAACCAATGCTGCACAGGACCGCTACATCCGGGTGTTCCATTTACGTAACCGGGCCGTCCCAGCAACACAAACAGCAGAGAACGTCCCAGGTCTTCGCCGCGTCTCCGCCCAGACCATCAGAAATCGCCTCAGACAGCACGGGATACGCCCTCGACGACCTCACGTAGGATGCACACTACGACCTCATCATCGCCTGGCACGTGTTCGATGGTGCAGGAACGTCCAGAGATGGAATTGGGAGACATTGGCAGCGAATTTGGTTCAGCGACGAATCTCGTTTTCCAACTTCAAAGACACGATGGTAGGACGAGGGTCTATAGACGGAGAAACGAACGTTACGCCCGTAATTGTGTAGTTGAAGGACAGATTTGGAGGGGAAGTGTGATGGTATGGGGACATTTCTTACAACGGGAGAAGTGACTTGGTGCACGTCCGTGGTAACCTGACTGCAATTCGTTACAGGGATGAAATTCTGCAACGTCATCTTTTACCTGTCATCAACCCTCAACGTCACGTTTTCCAACAGGACAACGCCAGACCGCACGTGGTGGCTCGCATCACGATGGACTACCTGACGAATCAGAACATCATCACAGTTCTTCCCTGGCCTTCAAAATCCCCCGATTTGAACCCAATAGAGCATTTGTGGGACCAGCTTGGGAAACGCGTTCGACGTCGTCAGCCTCAACCCCAAACGTTGCAACAACTGTCTCAAGCCTTGCAGGAGGAATGGAGGAGGATCCCCCAAGCACGGATTCAAAGACTGATCATGTCCATGGACAGGAGGTGCCAAGCTGTGTTGCAAGCTCGAGGTGGTCACAACAGGTACTGACCTCCACGCCATCTGTACGCCCGGTGCAATGGTTTCAGAGACAAATGATAGCTGCATGTTGTAAAGCTGACTCTTGACAACATCCATGTGAAATTTTACGTTCGTGCGATCATTAGTTAAAGTTTTATTTGGAAACAAAATAAAGTGTTTACATTCCTGAGTTTTCACCTGTGCGTTTCTTTTTTTGCAGAGTATATTTGATATAAGAATTATTCACCACATACTGAATTATTCATGGGTGATAAAACGGAGCCAGGACGCAGCAGGTGGTAGGCAAGATGCAAATATTATCGTTTTTGGTTTCAACATTTAATAGAAATAATAATTGTGTTCGTAAAAATGCTTTCGAGTCGCTGTGGAGAGTTGCTTCCCCTACATTCACAACAGGAATAGTTTCAAAGCCAGATTCTATGCCAGTCTAAACAAGCTGAATATCATTTAGTTAACTGACAGAGACAAAACCTTTTCCGAAATCGTAGGAAATCTGTGTCTTGTACGATCCCGACTCTGTATTATAAACGTGTTTATGACTCACTGTCAGCGTGATGTGTGGTGATAGCAGGTGCCCGCTTACGTTCTTCTCAGGAAGCAGTGCCGTTGATTCGAATTCCATCTATACCCTGATAATTTGTCAGCAAGGAACACTTGTTGGTGTTTTCATCAAATTGGTAAACGTCTAGGATCTGCATCACCTCGGACTTCCATTTTAGATCAAGCTCACACGCCCTGCAGTAAATAGAACACTGTTGAAAGCGACGCCAAACCCACTCGCTCACTCTTCCCACATCAAGCTGACACGCCCTGCTATAACTGGAACACTGTTGAAAGCGGCGCCAAACCCACTCACTCACTCTTCCCACATCAAGCTGACACGCCCTGCTATAACTGGAACACTGTTGAAAGCGGCGCCAAACCCACTCACTCACTCACTCTTCCCACATCAAGCTGACACGCCCTGCTATAACTGGAACACTGTTGAAAGCGGCGCCAAACCCACTCACTCACTCACTCTTCCCACATCAAGCTGACACGCCCTGCTATAACTGGAACACTGTTGAAAGCGGCGCCAAACCCACTCACTCACTCACTCTTCCCACATCAAGCTGACACGCCCTGCTATAACTGGAACACTGTTGAAAGCGGCGCCAAACCCACTCACTCACTCACTCTTTCCACATCAAGCTGACACACCCTGCTATAACTGGAACACTGTTGAAAGCGGCGCCAAACCCAAGCCACTCACATTTTCAGGTTGCCTTCCTCATTCACCTGACACAACTGATACACTGTTTAAAACGTCGTCAGATTATCACACCAATCTCCCCCTGTCTAGTTTCAACATGTGCTTGGAGCGCTCCGCTCTGATGCGGCTCTACAACAGAGCCATTGCCAGGAATGTCAGGTCGTTATTGCAACGTCATCGAGACGTGTTGTTCAGCTCTGAGGCAGAGCGGCAGTATGGCGAGGTGGATGTTGACAAGGTCTTCCGCTCCACGTCTCTGGTTGGCCTGGCCAAGACCTTCAGTTGGTAAGGTTGATGGGTTACATTCAAAACTGTTTTGAGTGAGTGAGTTTAGTTTTACGCCGCATTCAGCAATATTCGAGCTATATGGCGGCGGTCTGTAAATAATCGAGTCTGGACCAGACAATCCAGTGATCAACAGCATGAGCATCGACCTGCGCAATTGGGAACCTATGACATTTGTCAATCAAGCCAGCGAGCCTGACCACCCGATCCCGTTAGTCGCCTCTTACGACAAGCATGGGTTACTGAAGATCAGTATTCTAACCCGGACCTTCACGGGTTTTTTACAAAGAAAGTGTAATCCCAAATATAACATATGTTACATTTGACCACTTTCTAAAATGGCATTGTGTAATCATGGCTTTTGATCGTGGGAGCCGTGCCAATTTACACTTCTCAGAGGGGTACACAAAGACCGCAGTCTAGACTACCAGTTGTCCGACTTCAGATTTCCAAGTCGCGGTGGATGAGCGGGTTAGGCGGCTGACTTTGTGTGCCGGCGATTAGGTGCCTGACTACAAGGGTGCGGGTTCGAATCCCGGATGGGACCCAACCCAAAAAAGTATTAGAATTTGTACTTTACTAAGAAGGTGACCGCTTTCTAAAATGGCATTGTGTAATAACACATGGTATCCATAATTTGTACATTTATGAGTGAATATGGTTTTACGCCGCGTGTAGCTGTATTTAACACGTCTTCACATATTGTAGCCTTCTATGTGACGAGCGTTCCATCTGCACCACTAGGCTACCCAATCGCAATCGCTGACAAAGAAATCTTGCTATATCATTTATAAACGTTTTACTTTCTTATTTTGAAAACATGCAAGGGAATATATACTCTATATACAAAGTTTCGCGTTTCCCGCCAATATTGCAGCAGACGTGCAGGGTTTGAGGACCCGGATGATTACTACACTTGGGGAAGCAGCGCCACCTACCTCAATAACGTGAGTTGGTAACCTTATGTAATTGTAGTCTTAGTAATAAATAAGTACACTGCCAATCAAAAGAAAGTATTTCACATGGGTAGCTGAAAGAGAAACAACGAGTTATTTGATGGCGATGTGTTTGATATTGGTTATGCATAGTTTTGACTTAGCGACTGTTTCCAGCCAAGACTAAGTAACGGTTTTGATAAAGTTTGTAATGGTTTCATCCAATTTACAATGCAAATATACTGAACAGCAAAAGAAACGCAAGTCTGGCTTTTTGTCATTTTTTGAAACAGAATCATTTATTCTATAGAAAACACTGTCAATTTAACCCCAGATGAGATGATGTCATGCAATTTGACGTCCATAGGAAACATTCGCACAAACACACCAATAATGCAGCAAAACCATAATTTTAGCACGTGCATCGACGGTTATGGATGAAAAGTATGCATTTCACTCTGAGGTATCCTTTATAAAGGTTTGTGTCAAAAAACAGTTCAGTATTGACGCTAGGAGGTGTACACGCCACACAAACGATGCCTAGACTAACGACTTAGCAGAGGGGAATGGCCATTGGAAAGTTACACGGAACTGCAACCGCTGTAGCTAGACAATTGGGCTGTCATCTTACCACCATTACACCACTTGCTCAACGTCATCAGCAAAGCGGGTTGCTGCTGATCGTCCCCGTACCGGACGGCAACGAGTGACAACTCATGCGCAAGAGCGGTTCATCCGGGTCACTCATTTAAGGAACCGAACTCAAGCAGCAACAGTAACAGCAGCCTAGTTCTTGGGTCAAGGAGAGCAGTGCCAAGCGATACGATTAGGCGTCGTCTGAAGGGGGACCAATTTTGGCACGTCAATAACGCCAGCGACGTTTGCAGCCCTCACACAGCAAGGGTGTCGATGGATTATCTGGCTCAGAACAACATTAACGTCTCTTTCCCCGCATATGGCTCCCATTGAACATTCTGGGACGAAATTGGACGGAGGATTGCTGCAGGTAGACAGCCACTCACACTTGCACAATTGGAATAGAGATTAGTGTTTGAGCGGAACCACTTGCCTCAGGCATTCTTTCAGACTCTAGTGAACTCAATGAGGCCACGTTGCACGGCCTGTGTGCAAGATAAAGGTGGCTATACGCGCTACTAAAGAGACTGTCACTTTTCGCGTTCAGGGGTATCTCCATTTGACGGACTGTGATCAATTTGAACGTATTGCAATTCAATGTCAACAGCAACTTTTAGCTGTTACATTGACAGTGTTTTCTATAGAATAAATGATTAGACATAATTTGGGTTGTCTTCTATTTAAAAACTTGACAAAAAGCCAGACTTGCGTTTCTTTTGCTGTTCAGTATAGATTGCCAAATATAGCCACTTTCAAAACGGTATCACGTATTAATTTTCTGACGAAACCCATTTTAAGTTTGTACTTATTTATAAGCTAAATGGATGAAAAACAGAAACTGCCGATTGACGTTTTTGGCTCTCCATTTTACCATTTATTTCGCTACCCTTGCAAGTGTGCCCTGTGCTTCTTGGTTTGGTATAAAATAACACAGTGCTTGCTGTTATCTTGGGAAACATACAGGAATAGATTCGGGGGACACAGGATTTTCTTTTGTCGTTTAACTCCGCACTCGGCTATATTCGAGCTATATGGCAGCGGTCTGTAAATAATCAATTCTGGACCAGACAATCCAGTGATCAACATCATGAGCATCGATCTACGCAACTGGGATACGGTGACATGTCGCCTCTTACGACATGCATGGGTTACTGAACATCAATTCTAAGCTTGATCTTCACGGATGGGACACGTTTGTACCGTCTTACCTCTGACCCTTGATCAGGGTCCAGATATTTGGATATCGATATTAGAATTAATGAATGGTGTTTAAGGATATCAAGGCGTATATATGTTATATTTACACTGATTTAGTTGAACGTTATAATTTTCAGCTGACAATTCCCATGTTGTTTCTTAATGCCCTCGATGATCCAGTCGTGTCGCCGTCTGTACACAGTATAGCGAGGACGTTTGCAGGTGAATGACAGAGACACTCACTCACTCACCCAGTCGCTCACTCACTCACTCAGTCTCTCACTCACAGCCATTTAAGCAAACTCGGCCACTGTTAATTCGCGTTGAGTAGATATCGGACGTAAACGGGGCGGTTGTGTAACCTGGAGGTTATAGCATTGTCTCATCATGACAAAAGCCCCGGTTCGATTAATCACATGGGTACAATGTCACCCTAGACGCGATTTTGCTTTTGTGCTGAAGGCGGCGTAAACCAATATGCTTTCACTTGTGCACAAACAAACGTAACTCTGCTATACATCATATTCCTCTTAGAGATGCTCGTTCCAACTCGTCCGTGACGTGCATTTTTGTACGAGACGTGCAAGAATATAATATACAAGAATATTTTCTTTCTTTTATTACTGTTGCTTCTATATCGCCGAAACCACTAAATCTAAATTTTACTTTCTGTTGTTTCAGAGACTCATGACAACTGCCTTTTTGTAGTAACGCACCATGGCGGCCATCTTGGATTCTTCGAGGGTGGGATTTTAGTACCAAGTCACGTGACGTGGCTGGAAAGGGCCATGTTGGAATACGCCGCTGCTATTGTTGCCCTGAACCCTGGAGAGAGGTAGTGTTGCATTACCGGTTATGCAATACATGACGAGCACACAATTGCAAAATGATGACTAAATAAGGACTACGC